TTGAGAAAATTATGTTCATCAATTTATCTCTTCCTCTCTATTTAATTTTCCTAAACTTAATAAGTGCTATCCATCATTTATATTCATTACCCAGTAATACAAATCAAATCAAATTACCGAAGGGTACCGATGAACATGGTAGTTCGTTATTAGCAAACAGCGGATGAAGTTACATGAATTTAAATGTATTATGATCAATTTATAAGAAATACGAGATCAAGTGGACATTCATGTGTATCGTTTTTCTTTTCCTATAATGTAGGAAGGAATGCTTGGGGCGCCCCTTCATTTCATTCTTTATTCTCGATCTTTCTTTCTTTCTCTTTTTTTCTATCTATCTATCTTTCTTCCTTTATTTCTCTGTTCTTTTCTTTCTTTTCAGTCTGTCTTCTCTCTATCCCACTCTTCCCATCACTGTTTTGAATTGCGTCCTTTATCTCTCTCTCATTTCTTCTATAAGTGTACATTATATATATTGTAGTTCTTCTTCTTCTTCTTCTCTCTCTCTCTTTATCTTTGTTGCTTACCTATTTCATCCCCTGTTATTCCCACTGCTCCCACGCTTCTGTTGCCCTCTCTCGATCTCCCATCTCTCAATATTCCTCTCCCTTGCCTTTTAACACCCCTCTCTCTCTCTCTCTCTCCTTTCATCATCTCTCTCCTATATATATCTCTCCCGCCCACTCACTCTCTCTATCTCCCTGTTCCGCGTAGAGCATTCCATCTGTTGGTAGGCTGCCCCATCTGTCATGTGACGTGTAATTTATACCATCATAATGTCATTAGCATCACATATAGTCGCAATATGCTATACAAACCTAACATAGCCATGTATTGTGACGGGTAGAAGATGACAGCCCAGTATATACCATAGACACGTGCCCCCTCCCAACATAATTGATAAAAATATAGCAACATAAAAGAGAGAGAGAGAGAGAGAGAGAGAGAGAGAGAGAGAGAGAGAGAGAGAAAGAAATAAGAAGGGCAATGTGATATGACATAAAGATGATACCCCCTACTTACACACACGCTCTTTCACCTCTTGGTCGGGTCATTTTCGTTCACCAATTTAGTAAGACCGGTCACACCCCCTTCCCTGTTGATGTTGTAAGCCCCTTCAAGTTAAGCACTCACGCTACACCATTGCAACAGTGTACAGTGTAATGCCGATTATAATGGAAATTTCAGAAAAAAAACAATCATCAATGATAATCTCGATTTGATCTTGGCCTATAGTCATCAAGATAATTAGCATGATATTCATATCTTATAAACCTGGGGGTGTTTCACAAAGATTCGAAGTCAAACCTAACTTTAAGTTGGACTAAAAAATTATGGGGGCCATTAATTTTGTAGCCTTAAAATAAAATATATTCAATAGTGAAAATTCAAGTATTTTAGAGTTTTTATAATTTTACATCAAGAACATAAAATCTCCTTGATAATAGAAATCATTGAATGATTTGAATCAACAATTTACGCCGTTTAAAACAACTGAAACAAAATATTTTTATACATGCCAACGGCTTTCCATTATTGTTAAGTCCAGCTTAGAGTTAAGTTCGACTTAGGATCTTTGTGAAACACCCCCTGTTAATGGTATCCGTATTATTCTACGCATATAGCAGTTAGGAAATACTGGGGAAAAGGAGCAAAATTATAGTTTCCCCATGACAATAGACGATACGTCAGGCACATACAATAATGAATATTTACTTGTCTGCAAAATAATTATGCCCATTAACACTATTTATTCAGCTTCGGCAAACAACTTTCATTGAAGACACTTGAAGAATCACTGTATTGTATTTCCTTATGTCGTTATCGAGAGGCCACTTAATATGTACTACGTGTTTGTACGATCGCCCCGAGCTACATTCATTTACCTTTCAGCACTTACAATTTAATTTCGTATTTAGGAGCCTTAATCGCAATCATCCTACTACATTGAAATTAAGATTTTCTACATTTATAATATAAAAACACATTGTAGCCCGTGTTGTTAGCGTCTCATTTGCGGTTTGCTAAACTGGGCAACTATTTTTCATCATGGACATTTCCGAAAATTGAATTTATCATAAATATCAAGTTTAGAAAATTTAATTGTTTTCTACCAAAAAAATTATCTCTTTTTAAATAGGTTGTTTTGCAGTTAGTTTTGAACAAATGAATATAATAAATGAGATAGGAATTGAAAAATAAATCATGACACAGCAGCCAGAGGATATTTCTGAGGTGACAGGGTAAAATATAGATTTTCTTTTCAAAATATCACGTCTAAATAATATATTGAAACTCAATATGCCCTATTTTGGTAGATCCTATTGGGGTTTCACACGCGAACCGAGATTCTCCGGGCGATGCGGGCATTATTCAATGATCATCGGATCAGGTTATTACCCCGCTACCGCAAATAAACCAATATTATCATCATGTTACACTTCTAAAATATCTTTGTCCTTGACAATGGTTTCCGAGAACACGTCATGCAAAGGTATGATGATGCTTTTGGTCGCTGTGGTCTAAAATGTGTATTTTTAGGATTTTGTACTTGTAGTAGTAAGTTGGTCCGAATGCGCGACTTGATTTATTTGAAATATATCCAAGCCTTCCAAGGCATTACAGCAAAGATGGATGGAATGTTTTGTAATGAGTATAGTCTTAATATAATTAGGTAATTTGATGAGTACTGTCTTCTGGTTTCGTTTGAAGATGATCATGATGATGCCGAAGAAGAAGAAGAAGAAGAAGAAGAAGAAGAAGAAGAAGAAGAAGAAGAAGTAAAAGAAGAAAAAACAATGACGACGAGAATAGTGTATGAATGTGCTTTAGATAAACATTATTAATGATGCAATGTCAGGGTGAAATGATTGCGCCTGAATTGAGGCTACCCGTGGCGTCGGATCTCGCTCTGTGCGGTGTTCTTCAGGGTACAGGGGCTTGGCGACGTGCGTAAGCCTCAGCCTATATGCAGTCAGCACAAGCCTCAAATATGGCTTCTTCGGTTTTGGAATACCCCATATGCTGCGTAGCTTTATCTCAATTCCAACCACGATATTATTTTTTCCGCATTCCCCAAGAGAGTTACCCTGAAGAAAAAAATGGATTCAAATAAACACATCAATCGAAACTATATTGTACAACCGAAAAAAACAAAGTTAAGGAAGCTGCGCTGAATAAAAAATATTCTGGCCGAATCGAGAAAAAAATACGAGGAAGTCTGTGATGCTTTAATTGTGATTCCGTATCGGCCTATGCATATTATCGATTCCATGAATAGCTAAACATCAAATACTTGTGCTTTAAAATACTTTTGTAGATAATTATATCATGATGGGGAAAAATTACAATCTCCCCCCCCCCCCCCCCCCCCTTTCACCCGCATCTATGAACAGACAATCAACATGCGTTCCCTAGTCAGGTTACTTAAAATTAATGGGTCTGTGATTGTAAACTATCTGTGCTATGACGTATACAGACAATCACAACGAGAGGTATGCCCTCATCATTACCTGGTATTAAGCACGATAGTAAACAGTCGATCTCAGCTCATCAAACGAAGTGGACTTAATATGTGAGTCAGCTCTCTCTCTCTCTACCAGTTCTTTACATTGCGGCAATATCTCTGCTGGCAATAATTATTTTCCTACTCATCCATTTTCTTGGAGCGTTTTCCAAAGGATGAATATTATTTTCGACCTGTGTTTTTACACCACGAGGACCTCCGCAAACTAACTTTCTTTGCACCATAATCATTTCGTGAAGTGTTTACACTGAAATGGACGAACATTTGTTTTCGTTTTAAAACTTCTATGTATGACTTCATATTTGTCGACCTGTCTTTTTACCCTTCAACCTCACTGCAAACAGACAAACAGATCTGTTTATCATATTTATATAAGTGTTTGGCAGAGGATGGACAGTTTGTGCGAGACTTTATTGAACTATGATGTGATCTAATTGGCTTCGATATACGTCATTAATGTGAAAGCGAACAGAGCTCAGATTTTCGTGACAAGGTGACATTTTCCACCATTATTTCTTGTAGCATTTAACGAAGAGAGGACATTTTGGGACAGACATTACTGACAGAACTAATGATGAGAAAAATTGGCTTCCTTGCCTCATTATTGTGAAGGTTATTTGATCTTAAAACTTTATAGGGCTTCTCGTCTGTTGCCCTTTCGTCGCAGCTAGTTGACCCATAATATTTGGTTCAGTATTTGGTTCAGGAAAGATTCTTTCAGATCTGAATCATTCTCATAAATTGCTTTCATCTTTTGGTCAAGCTCTCTTCTGTGTCGATATTAGCCTATTACCACTGCTAATTGTTTCGGGCGGATTAACTGGAGGTGTTGTGATAATAAAGTGGGGGCATCAACTGTGTAGAAAAAAATGGTTTAGAAAAACAGACATTGGGGAACGACACGGAATATCGCGCCCATACGTCAAAGGTTCGTATAAAATGTTTTGTGGATTATCATGAGGAATTGCAGATCTATAAATATAAATTAGAGTGACTTTTGTTCATATCCATAATCCCAAAATGTGTCGGCTTTCTGACTAATTTTATGTTATCCACGGATTTAAGGAGGCACAAGTGATCTGTATTTACCTTGAAATCCCCCAAAGTAGTAGCCTTTTCTTTTCCCTTTTCTGTTTAATTTTTCTTCTTTTAAGACACAGAGTATATAGCTGCTTAATTTCAGCATTAACCAGATTTTGCGCATGTGAAACAATATACCAGAAGAACACAATCGCAACTACATGTACTTTACAAAATTCCAACAAAAGGCAATTTCAATTCCAATATATAGTGATCACATTCGGATCACGTAATCCGTTATTGTAATGTTCGCAAAAGGTGATGGAAAGAAGTTGCAATCGTGTTGAAGATAAGCACATGCTACAACACATAATATGCACAATAATTATGTTTCGCTCGTTTGCATGCAAATTTATTTAACAGTTCTTGTTTTTAATTTTGTTTTCTATCGTAGGTCTTCGGACTGAACTACAAATAACAGTATTGTTGGGAGTTAAAACTTTCTGGGAAGAAGCCCGGAGCCGGAGGACATTATACTGGACAGTATCTTTTGAAAGGAACAGTTAGCAGCAGTGACCGTTAACATCCCTGACTGAATGGGAAGATATTGGAACACCGTGATCATTTCTCCGCGGTCAAAAATGAATTCACCGCAGAGTCCTAACAGTCCAAAGTCACCGAGTAAATTCCTTCAAACGCTCCGCAACTCGCCTTCGTTACTACGAAAACGGTTCATGAATTCAGATGGTGATTTGTACTGCGAGGGAACTAAGGAGCGGACATTCCATGTGCGTTACGGAGGACGCGTACCGGTGCGGTCACTGCGCGTCCGTGACGCGGTTACCGCTGTTGAAAAGTTAGCGCCGTTAGCTAACGCGCTCCAAACGCAACACCAGCCAATCAACACAACGTGTGCATTGCGCGTGGATAAAAGCACGATCACGTTTGAGGACTCTTCCCGCGATGTGCTGGAGTCATTACCGCTGTTCTGTATCGCGTACTGCGCGACGGACCTCAGGCATCCACGCGCCGTGGCGTTGACGTGCAAAACAAGAGAATCTATCCATTGTTACGTTTTCGAAGCGACGACGCGGGACAAAGCGTTGGAGATAGTTAACTATGTCAGGAAGGCTTTTGAAGCTGCTTGGATGGACTGGAAGAGAAGTCATTCTGAAGGTGAAGATCCTCGAGAGCGACAAATAAGGCTCTCACCTCCTGGACATGTGCCACTTTAAACAAAACAAAAACAAAAAAATCGTTCATGATGGCCGGTTTATCTTTTTTTTTTATAAATAAACCAAGATGGGATCTACAATGATGCTGTGCAGCTTTTGTTGCTTTCTTGCTCTTGACATTTGAGGCATAAGACTTGCCAATATAAAGACTATAACGATGCGAGCAGAGAAATTTCATTTTGAGCTAATTTTAATGTTTCTTGCCTATGGACTGCTTCTATTTATAAATCTATATACAACGCCTAAATTCAAAAGTATTGCCAGTTGAAAAACAAAAACTGTGTCAAACACAGTTGCATTTTTTTTTGGCGCCATATAGGACTATCATTGATATGATTATAATGAATTTATTCTACTTGTAGATACTTTGCCATCTGTAAAACGTTCCGCAAACAAGCATATTCAAAGATGGACTGAGAAATATTATATTTATGAAATTATACCCGACAGCGGAAAAGGCGTCACTTTATGATGAATATGGGAAGAGTTACTTATACATGAACTATAATGTGTGGTCATTTTAAGGGGATCAGAAATGAACTAATAATATTTGAGCCCTATGGTGATAACAGTGTTGCCTTTCCGAAATTGAGCATTTATTATTTTTGGACTTTGTTCTCGTACTATTTGTCTCTCGTAAATATTTTTCCCGCTTCACTTTTTACTGGAATTTACAAATTTGCATGATGTATGTTACACACACACACACACGAGCAGATCTCTATCAAGGTGAACAGCTTGATAATTCACACATGCATGACTTTATCCTATCTCGTCAGTCAGGCTCGTCGAACACGCTGGGAGAAATATATGATGGTACAGGGGGTACGGGGGGACGTGGCCCCCCAACCATATAGTGGTGAAAAAAATATGTAAAATGAGAAACAGCTAGAAAAGACAGAAAGGGACTATACCTTCCGTACCCCTTAGTCGGAAACATTTTCATTTTCATTTTGCGGTGCCAGCTAATCGTTTCAGTGCTCCCCAATAGGTGGACTCACCTACGCCACGGATGATGTAATATGTGACCCCCCCCCCCCCCCTCCGCCCCATTTGTTTGACAAAGGACGGGAAAGATCGATGGCGTGCATCCATGCATTGCAATATTTGTTGCATAATCTATTGATGATTAATATTGGTATTTCCCATTTCGGATTTTGGTTTTGTTTCGTTGAATGTCTTTTTTTAGTTGTCTGACGTAAGCCTAATTGCAAATACCACCGAGGCAAACTGTTATAAAACTCTTGCCACTAAAAAAATATGGTTTACGAATTGGGGCCCTAAAAGGATTACAAAATGATAACCATATTATTCATGTTGTGTAACAAATTTTAGAAGAAAATGTTATCTTTTTGCCAGCGCCTGTAATAATCCCATATGAAGAAAGATTTATTTTCATTTTTGAAAAAAAAAGAGGTTTGAATACATTGCTACACACGCTTGGAGCACATACTCTTGCCTATGAATCTGCAAATCTAAAAGACCGGTATGAAATACAGGTTAATTTTCAGATTGTTAACAAAAATGATGAATTGAATTGGCTTCATAATTTTTAATCTAAATTTCAGTAACAAAACCAGGGATTCTTTTGCATACATTTCTTTCGTTATCCCTCTCCAATATCTATTATTCTATTTCAAAACTGTGTAAAATTATCATCGTGTGAATGATGGCTTTGTTCGATTACGGTATTCTATTTTGTATGGTGCAATTCTTATAAAGAAGCAAACGATTATTGATCTTTGAAATGTATCTGAATTCATTATTACGTCGTTCGAAACCATGGAAAGGTACTAAACGAATACTTCTGTGTGCAGAACTAACAATATCATACTTTCTTTAACTGTTCGCGTTCCACGCCTTTTTAATAAAATGTTACCTGTTATGAAATGTAATACTTCCGGGTACACTTTCATACTTGAAAAAAGATGTTTTGATTGCATTAAAGGTTTTATTACCATTATACCATGTACGTGCGAAGAGCTTGAAATGATATACATGTACAATAATTATTAATGTACAGTTTAGAGCATACGTTGTGATTGCCTGGGACAGCAGGAAGTCAAGAACCCGGGAAAGGAAGCACATGAAGAGCGTGAGAGAGAGATAGAGAGAGAGAGAGAGAGAGAGAGGGGGGAGGATGAGGGAGAGAGAGAGAGAGAGAGAGAAGAGAAGAGAGAGAGAGAGAGAGAGAGAGAGGGGGGGGGGGGGGGGGGGGGGGGGGGGGGGGGGGAGAGGGGGAGGGGGGGGGGGAGGAAAGAGAGAGAAGAAGGGGAAGCGGTCGAGAGAAATCGAGATATGTATGGAGGTATTAAACAATTTATAAAAAAAAAGAGGGAGTGAGAGATAGCGATAGTATAAACGGTTGTGGCGAAAGAGAGATGGGGGAAGAAGTATTTAGAAACATCGAATGAAATTGATGTTTGATTATGGGTTGTAGCTTATAGCTTAAGTATGTATTCAATAGTTATTCATATTTATTCATTACATTCTCATTCATTGTTGCGATACTTTTGTGTGCTAATGTGCCAGACATGATAAGCATTAATGCTATTTTCTGGTCCCATTTATCCTTTTAATATATGTTAAACAATTATATTGATGTAGTTTTTTTTTGGATAATAAAACTTCAAACTCAAACTCAGAAAGAGAGTGAGGGAGAGAGAGAGAGGGAGAGAGAGAGAGAGAGAGAGAGAGAGAGAGTGAGAGAGAGATAGAAAGAGGATGGGATACAGAGAGAAAGCAATGTTGGAGAAGGGAGCTAGGTTATTTATGACGTGCCATCTCTGAACTGGATGATGGAGATATACGGACGGGGCGAGGGCTCTACCGGCCTACAGGCTTATACATGCACAACACTGATGGACTACAAGGTTGTTTAAAGAGATGATTGGTTGCGTCATAGAAATCAATGTAGTCGATAATGTATACCACAAGCATGTTGTTGTATGCGGTCTAACAGTCGATTTATCACGTGACCTTCAATATATGGAAGATCCGGAGGGGACACGGGGAGCGACATGGGGAGCATATTAACCCCCCCCCCCCCTCCCCCGTAATACCAAATCTGACATAACTCACGTAAAGAGAAAAGACAAAGGTGAACAATATTACGTACAAGTGCAAAATGGCGACCGGAATTATGTTACTAACTCCTATTTTTGGAATGGAAGCCTCCTCCTCCTCCCCCCCCCCCCCAACATCCGGCCCTCGCAAGATAATTCCGATCCGCCACTGACCAGGCTGATCTCTCGACATCATTTCAGTAAGTCTAGATCATATAGAAAACACCATCAGTGCAGTGATGAAAAATCAATTTTGTCCCTATGAAATGGCATATACACACTTTTAATGTCGCATGTATTAAGATGTCCTCAAAGGTATTCATATTTTTGTAAATTCTAGGGAGAAAGGAGAATGAGGTATGGATAGAAAGGAGAATAAAAAAGGGCAACTTATATAATGAGAGGGAAGGGAGAGAGGGAATGTTGAGAATGGATTTGGGCCTCTGTAGGATGTCAAAGCCCCTCTAAAGTGTTGGGAGCCACAAATTCGAATTTAAGTGAAATTTTGCCATTAAATTTTGGGGCTCCCAACACTTAAGAGGGACTTTAAAGTATGGTACATTTACCGAGGTAATGAGCAAAATCAACACACTTATTCTTTAAACATCGTAATCATATCACCATTTCTTCTGTGCCTCTTCATTTCCAATTTCTCTTCATCCCATCGTTCTGTCCTTCTCTTTTTCACCCTCTACCCTCTCTCTTCTCCATTTCAATATCCTTTCCTGTTACTCTCTTTCTTACCCCTCTCTGTCTTTGCCCCCCCCCCTTCTCTCTCTCTCTCTCTCTCTCTTGTCTCCAGCTCTGATTCCCTCTCTGCCGCTCTTCTTTCTCTCTCCTTATGCTGGTACAATTTTCTCTCCCTGTCTAGTTCACCTCTTGATTTATAATCTCTTTATTAGCCAATACTCCTCCACTTTCATAATACAGTTTCACACCTACATGTATGTAATACCAAACTCACCTTTCACAATGCCATATGATTTTAAGACTATCATTTCATTAAAAATATCTCCTAGCAAAATAATCCAGCCGACAACAACATACCATCTAAAGATACCAGAATGCATGCTGTAGCAACAATAATTGCTCTGTCATCAAATTATAAACTAAGTAAATGCCTAACTTTTGTCTGGTTTCCAACCCCCCCCCCCCCAAAAAAAAAAGAAAAAAAGAAAAAGAAAAAGAAGACCTAATCCTTACCAAAACCCTAATCTGAAGTCTAAACCTATTAAACCCTACCAAAAAAAAAAAATCAAACCAGCTCTAAATTGCTATCTGAACCCAAACCCTGAACTTTTGATGAAATGAAGCCTTGAGCATACATGAGATCACCAGTAAGCTACAACAAAGAGACATCCAACAACTTCATTTGGCAAATCGAGATTTGTATTGTATTCATGCGTTAAACACTAGTAACGTAAGTACATGTACACCATTACAATATAAGGAATCCATCAGTGCCAAGTTTACAAACTGATAAATATATACAAGCAGTATCATGATGAGCTAGGGGGTAGATTCACTTCCGAAAGCTAGCTTCCAACAAGGATTTCAACCAATCAACATGTGATATGAGACATAAGATATTATTGATACGTTAAAGGTACATGTAGTATTGATAAAGTACGTGAAATGAAATTTCATTTGAGAAAAGGGCAATAGGCCATTTTCGTAATGTAACCAAATTTATTTGTTAAGGAGGGCAAGCCATAATGTTTGTCCTACCTAGCAACAACTAATGTATGTTATTCAAATTTATTGAGATCATAACAATTTGTATCGAGGCGCTTCATAAAGACATATTTATGCATGGATTTGGATACATAGCAAAAATGGCCAATCCCATGGGATTTGTCCTATAATTTACCGACCACATCAAAATAAAATCAACTCATCAGATCAGATGATAGTATCAAATTATGGCACGGTTTTGAGCAAACATCAAGGAAAATGGTACTTTTGACAACAGCTACATGTTCATACATGTAATTCTGTGAACTTGGTGACATATGGGACACAAAACTACCAAATACCTTGGACTTTCCAAGAAACTGATGATAAAACATCATCTGTACATCATACATGTACAGTCAAACCTGTCTGTAGCGACCGCCCAAGGGAAACACAAAAAGTGGTCTTTGTAGACAGGTTCCTTTAGTACAGTACATGTTTCAATGAGAAACCATTTTCAAGGGAAACAAAAAGTGTGCTTGTTGTAGACAGGGGGTCTTTGTAGACAGGTGGTCACTAAAGCAGGTTTGGCAGTACAAGTATTTGCTGTTAGTGTACTACATGTACATAAGGCTCCAAACTACATCATGAGATTTTGGGGACTGGAAGAAAAAAAGTCAGGGATATAAACAAAATTGCCAAAACCAATATACATTTTTAACATGATAACACAGATTTTGACGAAATGATCTTCTTGAGGGCAATTCCAATATACCCTATAATTATTATACACTCCAGAAATAGAAATGATATTCTGATTACATAATACATGTACAGTACATCATTATAATATTCACAGGTTTCCACAGGTGATTGACAGGTCTTTTGAAATTGCCTTGGCTTCAATTTTCAGAAATCTTTCGTGATCGTGTTGTAGGAATGCTGAAAAACACCATGATAATCCAACAGAGGTTATGTGAGCGACAATAGGCCTGTCCTCATCAGCTCGAGATTGCCAAATAGCCCGCTTTTTCTGATTTGGGAAGTGATCCCGAAGTTACAAATCGCTTCTTCATCAGCTCGAGACTTGACCTCGAAACTTGAAACTCGAGCTTGAGAAATTAGCTCAGCGTTCGCGCATAGTGCAAGTCTTCGGTCTGGTGAAGACGGACAGGACAAATAGCAGGATATGTTGCAAACTAGCCCAAGATATCTTGGGATGATTATCTCGACCAAATATCCTGCTAATTGCAACTTCGGGCTGCTGATAATTTGCGATCCCGATAGTTCAAATAGCAGGATATTTGGCAATCTTGAGCTGATGAAAACAGTCCTAATGTTACACCAATGGTCATTGTCTTACTAACCAAACTAAATATTTCTCAACATCAGAGTCCTTTTCTACAAATTGTTTTGGTAGATTTTCCAAAATTATTTTAACCTTACACAAAAAATGCTATTTTTTTTTGCTAACACCGGTGCTGCCTAATTCTGGGCAAGGGGTATTGGTGCTAATGATGAAGGACAAGGGAATGCATAATTTTAGATGACAAGAAGAAGCAAAAATAACAAAATTATCTAATCTTGTAGAATGATGAATTGCTGTAAGAAAATATTGCTAAAACATTAACAACAACAAACAAAGATATAAATCTTGATATTTTTTTTCTTATCAAAATGTTGAATTTCACCCACATGCATCAATAAAATAAAGAGTACCGGTATATTATTTGTTGAGAGGCAAAGGTGTGTTAACTTTTATTCTACGATATAGAATTAGCAACCTTCTGGCTCTCAGCAGACATATTTTTTTTCTTTAATGAAAGAAGTTATTCAAATTCAAAATTTAATTCAAACACCTAGTAGCACAAAGATACATGTGATTTGTAGACAGGCCTTCATGATGAATTTACAAATCTATTTTGATACATAAAATAATGAGTTACAGAAGGTGTGTTTCTACATTGATACATTCCATTCCATTGTTTGTCATATATTGTAGAATATGAGCCAACTCTTTACAAAGTATCTTTGCATGAAATAATACAATTAAAAATAATCAAAAGAAACATAGGAAATAAAATAGAATTACAAATACTTGGGAAATGGAAAATCCAGACATGTGTTAAATAGATAACTATCCGAAAAAGCAGATAGACTTTCACAATAATCCAGGCCTGCAAAAATCCTTCCAACATATGATACACTGTAGAAGTCAAGATACCGCCAGAGAATTGGAATATTGAATGACAAATAAAAAGAAAATTTATTAGGCATATTTGCAAAATGCAAATTGGAAAAAAAAAAGAACCTGAAGAAGTTATAATGTACTACTTTCTATCCCAAAACTTGATATCATAGCCACCACTGACGATGCTCACTTCGTACGAGCTCCAGAGTGGTGGAGCACACGCTGTACAACTGCGAAACTAATGCTTCTTTGGATTTAGTCACCAACCCCAAAAATGTTCCACGTTCTTGTACTTCAGTCACTCCCCGACCCCAATCGTCATCATCCCTTCTCTTCCGAAAACTGTGCTCTCTTCTCCCATATCTATGGCTTTCAAAACCCCTTTCGGAGCGTCGGTGATGGTCTCGCCTCCCTTCTTGCTGAGGGTAGGTATGCCTGGAGTGATTGCGATCATCTCCATAGCTGCGGTCACTTCTGTAATGTCTTTCATCCTTGTACCTATCACGTCTGTGATCACGAACCTGTTGGTCTCCTGTTTGATGTCCTGGACCTGGACCATCCTTGTGGTGGTGGTGGTGATACATGTAAGTGTGACTATGTCCTACATTGAGTTGATTGCCATATTGTGAGGAATAACGCCCAGCAGAGCTCCGATCATCCCTGTAACTCCCACCACTATAACCATGTCCTGCTCTGTGTCCATATTCACGTTCTTGGGAGTATCTACTTGTACTAGAATCCCCATATTCCCTGGCCCTGGAACTTTCCATTTCTGGTCTATTTACAGATTTATCTCCATCTCTTTTCCTTGAGCGCTCCTCATATGTGACCTCTTCAACAACCAGCGATGTGTGACTTTTCGAGCTTTGAGACAAAGTGTGAGCATCCTCTAAGCTTCTACTCTGCTGATTTTCTGCAGCATCCCTATTCGATTCGCTCTCATTTCCGGTCACACCCAGGCCAGAATCGTCAAATTCAGCTTTGTCAATACTAACATTATCACCATCTAGTCTATCAATTTGGGCAGTTTTATTTACTTTATCTTCATTGTTTTTATCAAGAGAATAACCATCAGTTTTACCAGAGTTTTCTTGATCTTCTTCGTCGCTTTGCTCTAAAAAAGGAAGATCTGGTCTCCTGCTATGTTTTCCTACTGTACTACCACCAGCTTCAAGTTTAACAGTGCGCTGGTTCCTATTGCTAGAAGGCACCTGCTTACCGAGATCATGGCCCTTGCTGTCCATGTAGGTCTCCCAACTATCAAAAAGATTGTATGCACCTGCACCTTCTGAATCTGATCTCTCTGTACTGGACTCCTCATCATGCTGTGACTGAGGTTCCTTTGAGGAATCCCTTGATCTTGATGATTTGCTATTAGAGCTGTAGCTCCTGTGGCTCAAGCTGCTACTGGACCTTGAAGAAGACGGTGAACGCGAGTGGCTTCTTGATGAATAAGAAATGTCACTTCTGCTCGATGACCTACTGCTCTGGCTTCCCGAAGAGCTTGCTGTCGAGCTCCTTGAGGAACTCCGGCTTTCCCTTCTTGATGATTGCTTAAACCGTTTCTTACTCCTTTCGCCAGAACTTCTATCACTTGATGAAGATTTTTGCCTCCTTCCAACCCTTAGTTGACCCTCATGCGAACTGTCTCGCCTGGGTTCTTCATAGTCCGCGGAGCCGGAAGAACTGAAAGACACGTCTGAATCACTGTAGTCTGATTCATACTTGGGTGGTGGACTGGCAACACATCCTCCCCTCAATCTCAAAGGCTCATGGTATGATGATTGATCTGCCAATACAGACAAATGCAGACAGCTCTGAGGAGTGTCTAAACTGTTGCTTGAGGCAGAAGTGATGTCAAGACAGTTCCCACCTTCACATCTGTGGTAGCCTCCATGGTTCTGTCCACCACCGACATTACCACTGCCATTACTGCCACTGTGTTGAGATGATGGCATGTAAGACCTCTGACTGCCAGTTGAACCCCTTCCTCCCCCTCCTCTACGGTTCTGAGATGGGCCTGAGGGACCACTCTCGTCATCTTCACTGTCAGTGTCCCACTTGCTTTTAACCTTGATGATGTCATCCTTGCAAGAACTTGATGTGACGTACAGAATAGGTGATGGTTCTTTCTTGGCCTCAGCAACAGGTGCATTTTCTGGAGGCATCGGAATATCTTCAACATTCAATGTGGGTGCAACTTTAAGACTTTGATGATGCTGACTCTCCTGTCCTTTAGTCCCTCCTTTCCCATTCTCTTTGGATGAGTCTGTGCGAACTTTTTTGTCCCCTCTACTTGATTCAGACCTGCTCCCAGCCTTCTCATTCTCCCTTGATTTATCCCTTCTTTCCCTGGAACTGTCAGCAGTTTTTCCTGAATCTCTTCTTTCTCTTTCCTTTGACCTCTCCCTTTCTCTGGATTTCCCACGACCAGGTCTTTCAAGATCATAGTACTGACCTTCCTTGCTCCTATCTCTTCCTTTGTCTCTGTCATCCTTTTTTGCTTCATGAGATGTCCTTCTCTCAGTATCCCTCTTTTCTTTCTTCCTTTCTTCTTCTCTTGACCTTGGGCGCTCCCTTTCACTGGATTTCTGTCTGGAATCTTCAGAGTTTTGGTGGCGATCACCATCACTTAATCGACGTTCCTGAGTATGGCCCTCTCTATCAAGAGATCCACTTTTTCTTCTGCTTCCCTCTTTAGATTCTCTTCTATTCCCATCTCTGTCCTTGTCTTCCGATCTTCTATCATGTTCTTTGTCTTTGTCTCTATCGTATGATCCAGATTTGGATCTCTGTTTTCTTTCATCAACATCAGCTGAGGTACTTCTGCTACTCCTTGAATATCTGTTTTGCTTTGCTTCTTCCTTTGATCTGCGTCTATAATTCTTTCTTTCAGGAGGGGATGGAGAATGCTTGCTATGACTCTTCTTACTCTCTTTAGGAGACTCTTTTCTTTTATCTTTCCCATTATCAGCTGATTTTGAGCGATGACTGCTCTCCTGTGAAGAGTCATGTCTGTTGCGAGTTTCGCCTTCAGATTCCTTTCTATGCCTTAGTTTCTCTTCATCATTTTCACTATCTCTTGATTTTCTATCACGTCTTGCTGTCTCCAATGAGCTTGATTCAGCTATAAAAGAGCCACTTCTTTTCCGTTTTCTTTCTCTAATGGGTGTTCGCTGCTCCTTTTCCTCTTCCTTCTTAGTTCTTGGAGAGAGGGATCTTGATCTCCTGGACGACTTTGACAACTTTTCAGGACTTTCCTCTCTGGTCTTTGAATGTTTATCCGACTTTTCTTGTTTACGATCCTCAGCAAAGCCTCTGTTGGGAGAGGATTCTGAGGCAGAAGAATATGATCTATGTTGTTTCTTGTTATCTTTGTCATCAGCTTTATTTTTCTCCTTTGATACACTTCTTTCACCACTGTACTCTGACTGTTTCACCAACTTTCCTTGTTTACTATCCTCAGAAGTTTCTTTCCTGTGAGGGGACAAAGACGCAGGTGAACGCGATTTTTTGGATTTCTTTCTGTCTTTGTCATCTTGCTTATTTCTCTCCCTGGAAGCACTTCTTTCCTTCTTGTGATCATCAGGAGATTGTGCTCTTGAGTGTCTTTTACTTCTCCTTGAACTTCTGTCTTCTTCCCCTTTTCTGTCAACCTTTGCCTTGTTTCTTGTCTTCTCTTTCTTAACCGATTGTGGTCTTTCATCTCCTTCTGGCGATTCTAATCGCTTTCTTCCGGTACGTCCATCTTTCTTCTTGGTGTGCTCCTCCTCAGATTCAGCTGATGGTATATCAGAAGTCTTTCTTCCTTGTCTCTCATTTGGTGGAGAGTGGATTGCTTCTTTGGCTGATTGCTTTTTAGGATGATCTTTGACTTTCGGAACGCTGTACTCACTTGATCTGGAGCGTTTCTTCCCAATCTTGACTTCTTCTCCTTCATCTGAACTGACCTTGGGGGCTCTCTCCTTTTTAACCAGAGAAGCAGACCTTGATCGTCTGTCCGACCTTGCTGGAGATTTGTCAGTGATTCTAGTCTTCACATCTCTCTTTTCTTTGCTTATCTTTTGTTGCATTGAAGATGATGAACTGTCAGAGCTGGATCCATCAGAATAATCATCCTCTTCTTTCGTCTTTTTCATGTGCTTCATCTTCTTTGCAGGCTCCTCTGGTGACTTAGGACGTTCTGGTGATTCCGAACTCAGAACTGATGGAGATGAAACCGATGTCGATCGTTCCTTTTTCTTTGGTTTCTTCTTCTTGTTCTTCTTTTTCTTCTTGGGGACTTTCCTGGTTGGGGAAGGTTTTCTCTCAGAGTCTGAGCCAGATGCACTTAGGGAAGACACGCTTTCTGATCTCTTCTTTGCCTTTTTATGCATTTTCTTCACCTTCTTGGCTGGCTTGGATTTCTTCCTCATGGGAGAAAACGCGAGTGAATCTGCACTTTCTTCAAACACTGATGATGACGATCTGGTTCTTTTAACTTTCTCTTTCTTGGTCTTCATCTTCCTTTTCTTATGAGACACTTCCTCTTCTTTCACTCTTCTGTCTTTCCCTTCCTTTTTGCTCTCTTTCTTAGTCTTCTTATATTGCTCCTCTTCTGATGAGGAAACAAAAGAAGAAGACTCGCTTTCCTTCCTGCTTCTATTCATATCACTTTTCCGTTTAGTCTTTGAACTGTCACTCCTCTCTAAAGACCTACTGTGGTTTCTCTTATCCTTCTTGGGCTCTACCTTATTCAACTTGTCATCCTCGCTTGAGGATGTCCCTGAAGCATGTTTGGATTTCTTGCGGATCAGATCAGCTTTCCTAGTTTTACTTCGGCTCTTGCGCTTTGGCGAGAGGCTTCCGTTCCTTGATCGCTTTCTCCCTGTCGGTCTCCCTCCCTCTGGAGACTGTGGTTCCTTCAGATTGTCACCTTTGGAGCCTTTCTTGTTATCCTTGCGCTTGGGTACAGGACTTGGAGGTTCTGACGATTCACTCTCAGAATCGCTTGAGGATTCTTTCTGCTTCTGCTTGGAGATCACCTCTAGGGATGAGCTCCTCTTCCTTAATTTCTTTTTTTTCTTCTTCTTCCCCATTTTTAACTCTTTCTTTACTTTTCTATCGCCTTTCCCATCCTCGTGACCCTTGGAAGGTTTGTCTTTCTTTTTCTTCTTCTTGGTGGATGATTTTTCGTCGCTGATCATTTCCCGAAGCTGTTTGGCAGACATCTGCTCCTGAGAGGACTCTTCGGATGAGCTTTCAACCAAAACTACCTCACTCTTTTCCCTAACACTCTTCTAGCAATGAAATATGTCAGTTCATATACAAATGCAGCGGACGGTATCATTTGAGAGAATAATAAAACAATTAGATTAAAATCAATAAAAATTAAATTGATTATGAATACCATGAATTTGTTAGTTATATTGAAGATATAAGACAAAGGGCGATGATCATTCATCCAGTGTTATTTGGTAAAAAAATTAAAAAACAATCATTAAAAAGCATGAAATCATCACATTAAACAGAAGTTTGATAAAGAGAAAGCATGTCCAATTTATGATATTTTATTTGATTAATTTATCAGAATTTAAGTAATGTACATGTATGGCAAACAAAAAAATCAATGTATGGGTACAGAACATACCGTTTAGAAGGAATTCATAATGCCATCAGCAACATCAGAGTGAAATGGTGAGTTGATTGTCCAAAGCAACACACACAGAATGGCAGAATCCATGAAGAGCGAGGATGTTAGAAGTCCAGGATTACCCATCGTGTAAAACAAAGATAAACAGAATACATTCATCAATAATGGGTAAATAGGAGGGTTGTGGAGCACTAAAAACAGTCTGCAATCATTAACCTTTGTATCAAAATTAAATATTGATATTGGCATGTCATTCAGGAAAAAATAGAAAGAAAACAAAATATTCCCCTCCCTGACCAAAGCACCGACAAAGGAAATACATAATCATCAAAAATATTATATATTTTCAACAAGCAAAACTGCTGTGGTCCTCCAAACAACAAATGCTACAAGGCCATATTTCTCTCAAATTATACCAAAAGAAAAGGTTCCTGCCTTGGAGCCTGACTGATACCATACCTGCCAACCCTTTCACAGCAAAATTTAGGAATCTCTCAAGGAAAATTAGGAATAGTCTATTTTGTTTACATTTCAAACAGAATATTTCAGAGAAAGAGAGGAATCAAGGGTTCAAACAATAGCTTGAAGGCCAAAAGATAGGAATCATTCCTCCCAAATAGGAATAGTTAACAGGTATGTGTTGTTTTTTTTTCCTTTCCTCAACCATCCTCCCTCCCCCTTGAGTAAAAAAAAAGAAGAGGATTTTTTGGGGAAAAAAAGGCATTTCACAACATTTCCCCGCTTTTGAGCAAGAAAATTGGGAAAAAATAGGGAAAAATCAGGAAAACAGGGGTAAAATCTGGAAGAAGAAAAAAAAAAAAGATCAGGCGAAAAAAAAATCTGGAAGAAAAAAGAAAATCAGGAAAAATCAGGAAAATATTTCTAAATCAGGTAATTATCAGGCCTGCTGTACTCACCCGTCTTGAAGGTTTCTCAAGTCTTTGTAAGGACACCAAGGCATCCTGGAAGTCAGGGGTAAGGTCTACGGCACTCTGGTAACAATCCCTTGCCTTCTCTTTCTCACCATTCTCCTCACATCTAGGAACAAACAGAAAAGATTAAGATAAAGATAATCTTTGATGTGAGCATTCAGCATTTTTTTTGAATAATTGATATTTTGGGACAGAAGGCCTTTTGCCACAGTTATTAGTTAACTTTTTTTCAGTCCCTACAATCCAGTTGTTGTATTATCTTTTTTCTATACTTACTCAATTATAATGTCTATTTTCTGATTTATGTAATTGCTTCATTGCCCCAAAAATAAATGATAAAAAACAAGTCACCTCATTGCTATCAACTATTTCCAGCATTTCCCAAAAGTTGGATTTAGTTGTTACATGCTTTGTCTATAAAAACAATGACCACCATTCCATTTGTTTCAGAATCTGAGACAAAGTTACCGGATCCCTTTAAGATAATGAAGAAGGTGTGGCTACCACTTACTGTTTTCCTTTCTCATACAAGGTCTGACACATGTATCTATTGGCGTTCTTGTGGGAGGGTCTAATCCTCAGAGCTTCAGCAAAGTCCTTGATGGCCTTGGACAAGTTGTTCTGGTTTGCAAACCTGAAATTAAAACATATAAGAATAAAATTGGTGAACTTGTTCTTAATAATCATGTGCTTTGATCCACTGAAGCTGATTAACACTTTGAGGGCTCAGTGAAACAAAGACGTAACTCCATTTTGGCCATTTTGAGAAAAAGTGGTTTATGTGTCACTGAGCACTTGGGCTTTAAGGAGTAAGTCTATGTTTCACTAGCCATTGACTTCAATGGGGTGTTGGGTGGATTTAGTCTTTGTGTTTCCTGGAAAGCCCACAATTTTCTGAACATTTTGATATCAAAAACTCATTTTGGTAAAATATGGAATTACGTGTTTGTGTCACTGAACCCTCTACTTAATTATCCTGTCTGGCAACTAGAATTGACTGCTTTTGATTCTTGATCTACTGAGTTCAACTTTGGTTGCATGAAATTGGACATAGCCACAGAGACTCTCTGTATATCTACACTTAACATTTCTTTGTCAATCCACTTCTTATGTAGAATAAAGAATAATGACCACAATTGTACATGTATGACAATGCTGCTAAAGTATGGTAATGGAGTGATGCTGATACATTAATAGTAACATAAAGGAAAGCATGACAATGAACATTTCAGTCTGTGTTATGTGCTGGTCACCACCATTCAATCCAACTACTTTCTGTTTCCCAATACACTGATCCACCTTTTCAGATACCACATACAGTCAATTAACAAGAAGGTTGAGTTCTGGGAAGAGGTGAAAATAATTTGTGAGCGTTATCATTGTATTATGCAAGTGTGGAAGAACATCAGAAAAAAAATGTTCCCTGAAAAGCATGGCTGTTCAAATGCCTTAATATTCTAAATATGGCATGTAACATCATACAAATTGGGACAGATTGCCACATGTTTGTGTAGTCCCATATACACCTTTCTGGGTACAGTGCTTCTAACTTTACCAAGACTGGGCCAAATTTCTTATCATTTTGATGATTCCAGAACCTTGCATTACACACCAATACTTACATGCTAGATGATCAACCTTTTCTGATCAAATGCACTCGCATGACCAGAACTCAACTTTATCTTTCAATAAAATAATTTCAATGGTTAACATCAATGGTAACTTGCTATGAATTAATTAATAAAACATTTTGTAAAATAGAGCCCAGATGATTTGAAGATGGCAATGACCACGATGTACTTACAAGGCACCCCTTGCAACAAGGCCTTCCACATTCTCTGCATCAATCTCAAGGGCTCTATTGAGCTGCTGCATGGCTTCCAGATAACGGCTCGCTTTGAAATGCTCCACTCCTCTTGCAACACTGTAAACGGGATAGAATCATCAATAGGTGGATTAAGTTAAAGAATACGTTCATTGGTTAAAAGGTTTTATGTATTTGAATCATTAAGTACATAGGCCTATTAGTATTACATGTACCTTATACAACACACAGTGGTGAAATTGCTTTTATTTCTTATGGTTTTGATACAAATCTATTCTTCTCTACATCAAAATATTTACTCCAATGTGATAAGGCCATTAAAAACAAAAATTCATGTATAGCGTCCCCGCCCGCTTTTTTTTATTTTTATGAAAAAACATGATAAACATATTGGAAAAATTATCTTTTTCTGATGAAAAAACAAAACAAACATAAATGCTGGCGCCAGGCGGCATCTTGAAAAATAACCTGACTAGCTGGACATCAGGGAAAATAAACAGAGTGGCCATTTTGAGGAAAAAATTACTAAAAGAGCCCCTGTGGACAAAAAATGAATTTGAGCCCTGTTTATATCTGTTATTTACGATAACACTGAATTGGTTGACTGCTTTATGTGTGATCAAGGTATTGATTCACATCATTAGCAGTCTGTGAGCCCTCTCTGACAAAGCAAAAATCACAAATATCTAAAAAGTTACCTCTCCATTGCCCACTTATGGGACTGCCATTTCCTCAGAGCTTCTGCATGCTCCTCAGTTGAAAAATTCGAACTAGCAAAGAAGGAAAATTAATCAGCAAAATCAAAGTTTGAAAATTACACACATCTTACAGTGTTCGTTTAAAAGACTTGAATTACGATGTTATGATGTTAAGTGAAGACCGGATGAAACATGAATATCATCGAGAAATATGCAATCATGAATAAAGCTAACTGTACCATTTCAATAGTACTGCTTAACCAAAAACTCTCTCGTTTTGTCAATAAGGGCTGTTTTTTCAATAGCTAGAAACTTTCAGGAATTGCCCAAACGTAGTGTTTGGATTCATTCATGACAGTTGTACAGGTGAGTTTTCCCATGGGCTTGAAACTTGGGGGGGGGGGGGGGGGGGAGCAGCCATCCACTGATTCCTGTCACAGCCACTTAAGTTTCTCTCTAGTGAAAACCCTTAGTGGTAATATGAAACACGGGGGAATTTAGGAAGAAAATATCAAGGGCGAATTTTCCCAGAGTGTGTACTAACAGGGGTCCGCAGGGGATCATTGCATACTTGTACCTGCAATATTGATTTGAGCAGGGCTCTCAAACCACTTCCGTTGGATGCTAGAATGCAACGTTTCACTCACTTTGGAATAGGTTAATGCACACTTTCAACCTACACAAAAAGCTTTGCTCTTTTCAAATACCCTCCCTGAGATAATGCAAAGCCACCTTTCTTCTATAAATATAGTCCAAGTGTAATAGGTTTAATGTTAAGAAACCGGATAATAATAACAATGATAATAATTCTGCTTTTATATAGCGCTAAATGCATCTATAATGTCTTTAAGCGCTTTACAGATATACTATTACCCCGGTCATTGGATTCAATACTTGCCTGCACACAATATGTGCACAATCTCCACTCCCTGGGGAGCATTCCAGCCAGGCGTTACTCGACGCTAAAAAACTGACCAACAATGACGGTCGCATCCTATCGGGTACCCATTTAACACCTGGGTGCAGAGTAGCAAGTGCAGGTAAATATCTTGCCAAAGGATATTAGTGCCATATCGGGATTCGAACCCTCAACCTTCGCTTCTCCAGTCAAGCGCCTTAAACCACTTGACTACGACACTTTAATTTCTAAATCTTCTAAATTGATTTGTTTACCTTTGTAGACCTGGAATGAGAGAAGAGGGGTTTGCATCATCAATGCTGAGAATGTTGGTTAGGCAAGAAACATTGTAGGAGTTGTCGAAGCCCAGAGTATTGTCAAGCATCTCATCGTAGGACTCCTGCGTCTCTCGCTGAGTTTGGGAGCGACGGTAATGCACTGGAAGCTCACTTTCGTTGATGATACCCTGCATGAGGAGAAGGGAGAACCAATATGAAAGTAGACCCTTTAAGCCCCACTGCATTACTTATAGCTTCTTGCGCCCTCTATATAGCTAGCAATGCCTAAGCGGTGACCGTTAGTCCCCATGTTCCCCTTTTTGTTATGTTAATTGAGAGCTGACTTGATGAACAAACCACCTGCCAGTGACCATGCAGGGAGGTCTAATCCCTCCTGGCCAAACTAGTGCAGATAGGCTTTCAAATGACTATGAACTTACTGGCATTTTCTATTGTCATTTTTTGTGAAAAATATAAAAAAGAGAGAAAAAGCAATTTAAAGCATAAATACATGTATATGATAGACTGGAGAGTCGTCTTGTTCCAATAGTTGAATACATGATACTTTATCCAATTTATTTTAGCATGAAAAGGATCATTTATAAGCATGAAAAACATATAACTTCTTGTACATCTCAGTCATGATAAATAACTTAATACCCCCAAACTACATGTATGGCAGTTACAAAGGAAGAAAATAAGTATCAGTAATCATTCTCGAAGAAAATGATCACAATTTCTAAGAGTTCCGTCTAATAACAAATTCTGAACCCATTTTTTGTCTTCAAATTCTGAACATAGCTTCAATACATGTGAAAAAAAGAAAATTTGCAGAATACACACAATCATAAAAGTGATCCCAACTTTAAATCCTGACCCAGGGCCAAACCCTGACCCTAACCTTTATTTCTAACCTTGACCCTAGCCTCTATTTCATACCCTTACCCTGATTCTCATTCCTAACCCTTACCCTAGTTTATTGTGCTTGTACATGATGGGTTATTCTCAGATATGCCGAAACATGCATGTGATTTATTCATAAGATTTCTGTTATGTGCACTTACGAGTAGGTTTTCCTCATTCTGTTCTCCCTGATTGATCATTGTCAAAATGACCTTCTCGTTGGCTGCATCCGTCTTGACCACTCGACACCGGACCATGTTCCCCGCTCTGAAGTCCTCCAGCTGGGCTTTCAGGGAGTACCTTTCCCCGAGGTCTCCCTTCGGAAGCAGCCCAACAATGTCGCACTCTTGAAGATACCTGAAATGAATTGAAGGTTTTATTAAACAATTATTGCAGGACTAAATTGATTTGAAGAACAATGCAAAAAAGGTATACCTAAGAAACAAGATGGCATATAAAGATACCTCTTCAAAAATATGATACCACTATTATAAAAATACATAATCATTTCAATTTCATAAAAGTAATGTGTGATTGATTTCTTTGTAAAGATGCAACACTAAGAATGGTATACAATAATGTATATTTCAGTGGGATACCAGTTTAATGATTATAGACAGACTTGGAAAAGTTTACTGGAGGTTTAGTACCATACCATTACAGTTACATGGATCCAATTAAATAATATTCTCAGTTTTGCTTTAAAAAGGAAAAGCTTAATGCATTATTCAATCAAAAGGTGTCTATGCATTTTTGTTACCCTAATGCGCTTTTTATCACAAATGAAGTTTTGAAATTTTGACATCAGCTGCTTATTTTCTTGGATATTCCATGGGAATAAAGTTCAGAGACTACCTGTATCAGCTTATGACTTATGTTTGATCTCATTTTAAAAAAATTATTATATAAGCATGATTTATTGAATAAATAACAGATTTATATTTTGTGTGTTTATTATAAGTTTTGGTTGGTAATTTTTAGTCAGACAATGGTGCACTTAGAAACACCCGTATTAAGCGCATAATAAATGTTGTGTATTATTATCTGTTTCATGAGAACATTTAGTCAAAACAAATTGCTCAACGCTTAAATTCTTGGGTAATTTTCCACCCATGGCATGGAAAGGGTTAAGGTTTGGTCATTGCATATTGTCATTCAACTCCATTACAAAGTGGTTGAATCATGTTTCTTATTACCTGGCTTCTTTCCCAAATAAGCACACCACTTGGACAAACATGCCGAAATCCTTGATGGCTACGATCGATCCAGCAATGATATCGTTGATGGCAAGGATGTCAAAGAGCCTTTTCCTGGACTGTTCTGGAGGAACGACCATGAACTGTTCAAGCGGGGGAAGAGTAGCATAGTAATCCAGGTCGACGGTATCTTGGACGCTTGGCAATGTCGCAGGTTCTTTATCTGCTGGAGTGGCCTTGAAGAGAAGGTCGGCTTTCTTGGATATGAAGTTATGGAGCTTGGATACAAATCCATTACTGAAAAGAAATAATACATGTATTGATATGGAGGATTGCACAATGTAGGGCCTACTGACTGTATACAAAATAAAAAAAGGCCAGTAAATTGATACATCTGGTCAGCATTTTTCACATGTAAATCATGTAAGCTCATTAATATTAGCAGGAACATGTGGAAGGTAAGCAAAGTGCTATTACTTCGGAAACAAATCTCCATCTTTTGTTTTATTCTTAACCGATTTTAAAGTGCTTTGTACGACTATGACAAGATTTAGAAGAGGGCTCTAGAAGAGTCCACTGGTGAACTCTGAAGGAGTGAAGGTACATGTAGCGTGCAACTAAAGCAATTTTTGACAGGTGAGGGAAGTGGCGATTACAATCGCATTTAAAGTTTTGTTTACATAATTCTTAAGCATAATTAACGCAGGCAAATGGGTGCCAATTATGGCTAAGTGATGTCAGTGTATCAGTATTGATATCACCTTGCCCGGCCCTTGGCTTAACTTAACTAATAAAGTTAATTCGGTCTCAGACTGTGTCAGACCATGCACTGATGCAGACAGTTTCAAATCATGAAATTCAGTTTGAACTTTGATTTTAGTTTTACAAAAATAAAAACAAAATTAGACTAGATTCTAGTCTAGTCTAACTCCCAAATTCATTGGCATTGCTAATAATCCTAACTAACTTTTTCAACAACTTTGGTGGCAGGTCTTGAAATGGTTCGTGTAGTTCCCTTGGCACACCCAGGGGTAAAATCTCAGGTGAAGTGTCTGATTTGGATGATTCCTCGGTACTGGACTCGGCTGTAGCTGTTGTACGCGATTGCACACGTACAAGATCTCTCATGGTCCCCGTTAAATGTACGCCGTCTTGGTAAGGTGCCACCGCAGTCGTGTCGGGGTCATTGGCACTCGATTCCCGGTGATCGCACTCTTTAGCTTCATGATCCGCAAGCTGTTGTTGTAAATGTTCTTCATTCTCTTTCTCGATGAAAACAAAATTTCCTTGTTGAAGCTTTTCTGTGAGTATTGACAGATCTTGGCCATGCATACGCACGGCTTGCTGGAACAAATTTCGTTGCATTTCAGACCAAGAAGACAACTGCCGCCGAAAATCCCGATTTCCTACCTCGTCGCGCACATCATTTCGCATGCACATTAAACTCAAAAAATTAAAGGAACAACTTACAAAAGATAGATTACACGGTCGAATTCGATGTAGTCGGAAAGTCATGGGCGTATACGTAGTAGTAGACCTATGTAGTGCTGTATATAGCGGAGGTAATTCGAAGCAGTCGTAATCGACCCTCCCCTCTTCTTCATCGTTCTTTTTTTTAGATGAGGATATCTATTTCAAACTTAACAACTTTTAAAGATATACATGCATGGTAAAAAAAGAAAAAGAAAAATCATTTCCAACGTTTATTTGAAGCGTACATTTCACCTGCTTCTTCCCGGGAGTCACATATGCATCGAAAAGAATGTTGCAATCATGCAGGGTAGGCTTATATTTGATTTTGAAAAGACTTGTCGAAAAAAACAATACTGAACAATACACAGACGCGTACACAGGGGGGGGGGGGGGGGTGGTTGAACCCCCCCCCCCCCTCTTTGGGTTTTTTAAAGTGTGTATTTTGGACGAAACCCCCCTTTTTTATTTGTTTTATTTAACAATTATGCTAATGGGTGACCTATAAAGGTGACCTTACCCCCCACCCCAAAGGGTCAAAAGGTCGATCCGGCAAATTTTCAAATTTTGGGACCCCCCCCCCCTCCCCCCTAAAAAATCCTCTTAACACCCCCCCCCCCCCCCCTTGAAAAAATCCTGCGTACGATACGGACTATACACATGGGTGCACCTCAAAATCAAAATGCCAGGACTAGCTCATTTCAAATTTTTCAAGCAGTTTATAGGTAAAGACCGGCCAAAATAGGAGGCGGCCCCAAAAAAGGAAGCGGGCTGGGACGCTAAAATAAACATGTATATTTTTTGTAATGGCCTAATACGTGATGGTGCAAATTTTGCCGGTAAATCTATCCAGTCCGGGTCGATGTCGCAAATGCACTTCAACATTGAAATGGAAGCTCCCATTACCAATCATATGAAAAATATGTTTTAACTAATACATGATGATAACAAATTTGCCGGGAAACCGCCTACTAATTGATATATTTGTTAAATTAGTTTATCTATTGTTATGTGAGAGATAAACGCACGTGTCGCGCACTACAGCGCTTGTAACTTTCCCAAGACTGGGCCAAATTTCTTATATTTAAACGTCTTTGGGTGGGTGCAAGAAGGGTGGAGTTTCCCCTCTCCCGCGTGAAGCACGAAAGCTTTGACGTTTCATAGAAGACGCTTCGTTGTACCGTTCTCGACTCTTAATCCTTGTTTGAATTAAGTTCCCCTTCCTCCGCGCGTAGCGCGGAAGCTCTGACGTTTCGTTAAATTATTAAAGAAAGAAGACGATTCGTTGTACCGTTCTCGACTCTTAATCCTTTTTCTTCCTACGTTCCCCTCCATTTCTTCCTTCTCTCTCTTTTTTTTTTTTGGCCGGCGTTTTTTTTTTTGGGGGGGGGGGGGGTGGCGACCGCCCCACCGCCCCCTGGCTACGCGCCTGCTTTAGGCACTTCATGGGAGAGAGAGAAAGAGAGAGATATGGTCTGATCATGGACCCGCTATGAAATCACTCATATTTTTAGACAACACCGAGTGTAATTAAGCCTGATCAACCATCTGACTCGGAATTATTATATTGATCAGTGGGTTCTTTTCAAGAGCAATCCGATGCCTTATTGTCTTTCTATTTATTTCCCGCGACCAAAATGATCCCCCGGCCTCAGTTTAGAACTAGAGATGAGGGAAGATGAATTGGAATGCCCGGGGGTTGCCCCCCTTCCCCCTAATGTTTTTTTCCTCGGTTAAGAAAGTTTTCAAGGGAATTCAATTCTCATTCAATTCTCATTTCACAAATGTGGCTGCCAAATTAGTAGACAAACTCCCCCCTTCCAAAGACTTTTTCAGCGCAGACAATGATTGTATTCGTGACTTTTACGAAAGAAAAGGTGTACGTGAAAACAGCTTCGAGTTATTACCAATCAGTGAACAATTTGTTTTCAAAGAGTTACGTAAGTTGAATGTATCAAAAAGTACTGGGTTAGACTTGATTCCAGCTAAATTTCTAAAAGATGGTGCGAAGGTTTTATTTAAGCCTCTAAGTTACTTAATGAACCTATCTATCTTGACGAGTACTTTTCCAGAAGATATGAAAATAGCAAAAGTGACTCCACTTTATAAAAAGAAAGATAAAACTGATGTTAGCAACTATAGACCTATTAGTGTTTTAAGCGTAGCATCAAAGATTCTAGAAAAATCGGTCTGTGTTCAAATTGAAAGATACTTCAAAGAAAATGATATAATTTATGAATTTCAATCTGGTTTTCGACATGATTATTCGACTGAAACATGTCTAATTCATTTGACTGATTATTTGAGGAGAGAAACTTCCCAAGGGCGCTTTGTTGGTATGGTGCTCCTTGATCTGCAAAAAGCTTTTGATACAGTTAATCATTGCGTCTTATTGAAGAAGTTACAACTAATGGGTTTTGATAAGGCAAGTTTAGATTGGTTCAGATCCTACTTATCTAATCGGCACCAAGTAGTGGCCATTCATGATATTCGTTCCAAACTAATGCCTATAACATGCGGTGTTCCTCAGGGAAGTATTTTAGGCCCAATTCTATTTTCAAGTTATATAAATGATATGTGACTTGTATAAAAGACTTCAAACTATTATTGTACGCAGATGACAGCGTACTACTCTATTCAAATCCTGATCCTAAATATATTGAGGAAAAGCTCAGTGAACAGCTGTCTACGTGTGTCGATTGGATGACTGATAATAAGCTTTCTTTACACTTGGGAAAAACAGAAAGCATTTTATTTTGTTCTAAAAGTAGTTCTAAAAAGTCATTTGAATTCAAAGTGAGACACAATAATCAAGCAATCAAGAGAAAAGAGTCTGTGAAGTATTTAGGCATTGAGTTGGCTAGCGCAATTTCATTTTCATCTTTAGTAGAATCAGTTGTAAAAAAAGCAAATTCTCGTCTGAAATTTTTGTACATGCAGATATCAAAGTTGTATGGATTTAAAAGCAAGACGTACACTCTGTTTTGCTCTTATTCAATGTTTATTTGACTATGCTAACCCTGCATGTTACAGTAACATAAACAAGTCAGATCAAAAGAAGTTGAAGATTATACAGAACAAAATGGTGAGATTTATCAACTGTTCTGGTCCAAGAACTCATGTTGGCTATAGCGAACTTTCTAAAGCTGGTTTTCTTGAAGTCGACCAAAGATCAAAACAACTCGCATTGCATCACGTGCATAAAATATATCATACTAGGTCGAATCATTATATTCGATCCAACTTCGATCTTGTTACTGACGTACATGATTATAATACAAGAAATAGACGATTCAACTTTAACTTACCAGAAAGAGTAGGTAGTATTGGAAATTCGTTTTATTACAATGCCATAAAACATTGGAATTCCCTTCCCAATGGTGTAAAAGAAATAGGAAACTATGATCATTTTAAGAGGAAATTAAAGGAATACCTAATACTTGACAGTCAGAGAAGAGAAGTGAATGACATGTTATATGATTGAAATTGTTATTCTTCTGTCGGTTCATACTTTTTCATGTTGTATATACTTATGTTTTCGTACGTTATAGAAATTCTACAAATTCATCATTATTTTCCTCTTCTTCCTTCTCCTCTTTTTCTTCTTCTCCTTCTTCTTTTTCTTCTTGTACTTAATATCATTTCTATCATCAGTTTAATGTTGTTATTATTATCTTTGATAAGTAGTTCTTTTAATTTTCTTATCTGTCTGTAAATATTACTATTTTAATTTATTAATTGTATACATGTCTGTAAGGGACCCCACTGGAAATAAGCTCTCGAGCTTTCGTGGGTTATCCTGTTCAAGCTGACTTATTTTTGATCTGTTATTTTTGTATATTGTTGTATGTTGGAAGCTTGTCGAATAAAAATCAATCAATCAATCAAGGGATCGGAGGGAAATGGTGGGAGATATCCGCCATCGCTCCGGCCACACATTCTCGGGTTCTCATGTACTACCGGTACACGTCATCTTGCACGCTTTGTGAAAAGTAAGCCATCTCTTGTTTGATGCTGTTTGTACAAGCATCACAGATTCCACTGATTACACTTTTAAAAGGTAATTAATCCATTTGTGAAAAGTTTTTTTATCTTGTATTCACACAAAAACAATATTCTTAAAATGTGAAAAGGTATTTAAAAAAAAGTAGTTTGATGATTTTACTTTTAACGGGCATAATAATAATCTGGTATAGACTACCTAATAATCTCCAGTCAGGTGATTGATCAGGCTAAGTCATGTCTAAAAAAAAATATGGGTGATATAATAGCGGTTTTAACATTTTAGAAAAAGTTTTAAGAATTTTTTTTCTCACTACAATATATTATGGTATTGAAATACTAACTGCTAATATTTTATCTAATTCTAATCGTAATGATTCTTTCTCACAATATCTTGATTAGGTCAGGGAGGTGAGTAGACTCTAGATCTAGCACCTCCCATTTATTTTGTACACGATAAATTTGATAGAAAAAACGCCGATCGTTCCAGCAAATTTTCTATTGCCAATTTAACAAATGGTCAACACCTAATGATTTATATGTAAATACCGGTAACCGAACCTGAAATTCACCGTAGCCATGCAAACCTCGGTCAAACAAAACCAAACAACCCAAAGCAATATCAAGTAAAAAAAAAAAAAAAAAAAAGAGAAAAAAGAAAAAAAGAAAAAATAAAATAAAACAAGTAAACAACACCCCAAAAAGCATAGGCCTATGTGCGTAGCTTTTCACAGTAATATATAGCTAGTTCTTATCATAGACCTACCACCACCACTGGTGGTAGGTCTATGTTCTTATATAGCACTTTTCAGGACCGAAGGCAGTCCCAGGCGCGTACACAGGGGGGGGGGGGGGGGGGGGGTAACCCCCCTTCTTTGGTATTTTTATGTGTGTAAACCCCCCCCCCCCTTCGGATTTTTTTTGTTTTTTTGTTTTTGTCCTCTTGCCTCCCCCCCCCCCCTGTAAGACTTACTTTATTATCAACATTCCAGTAACTGCATTCTGACATCCACCATCTCTCTCTTCCCCCCCCCCTCTCTCTCTCTCTCCCTCTCTCTTTTTCTATCTCAGTCTCTCGTTGTCTCTTTCTCTCCGAGTCTTTCTCTTAATTTATCACACTCCCCTAAATATCCCCTCCTCTCTCTCTCTCTCTCTCTCCCTCCCCCTCTCCCCCATCTCTCTCTCTCTCTCTCTCTCTCTCTCTCACTTTCTCTCTTTCTTTTTTTTCTCTCTCGATCTCTTTCCAGTCTCTCACTCCCGCTCTCAGGCTCTCCCCCCCTCTCTCTCTCTCCCTCTCTTTCCCCCTCTCTCTCCCTTTCTCTCTCTCTCTCTTTCACTCTCTCAGGCTCTCCTTCTCTCTCTATATTATGTTTGCTCATGTATTTCTATCTGAGTCTCTTTGACTTAATCTTGTGTACTTACTCAGTCTTTTCTTCTTTTTTTTTGGGGGGGGGGGGGCCTCTTCTGTATGTTTTAAAGGGTTAATGGCCGCATGCCCCCCCCCCCCTGCCCCGACCGTTTACCCCGTATAAATATCAAGGTAAATGTTTATGAAGAAAAACATGATAAGACGGATACAAGGCATTATAGACTCTGTTTAAATTGTATACGTCAAACCTACGTGATCGGCTATGCTCACTATAAATTGTTAAATTGGCCATGCGAATAGTTGACAATTATGGTTCATTACCAGTTTATTTGTCGGCAAGTTCAATAATCTCACACAATATCTGACTAGCTCAGGAAGGGGGATGTGACTGCAAAATGTCTGCTCAATCAGTCTAGTTTGCTATTGGACGAGATATTTATACTTTGAGCTGTCTGTCTTGAGATATAGCCATGTCTTCAGCTGAGACAAGCAGGAGACTGAGACACATTGGGCTAATAACCCAGCAGGTATGTTGAAATTTGAGCCTGATTTGTGGCTGTGGCTGCAGGATCTGCATCTGTGACTTGTCTAGAAGAGATCTAGGTTTAGTGTGACTGAGCTGATGAGTGACTGTGACTGTGGGCGTCTAGCTAGCGTCTGTGTCTGCGTTGATAAAAAAGTCAAGTTGATCATTCACTGATACTGACACAATGTTAACTGCTAGTGCATGCCCTCTCGGCCTCGGTGGTGCTGTCAAATAGAATTTGAATGCACAATGAATGAGAATCTTAATTATTTTGAGTGATAGTACTTTACTTCTAGATGTAAGTTACGCATGTCTGTGCAGCTTTGCATTGAAATTTTAGAGATATGAGTGTGAGGTATTGTGAATGGATATTTGAAAGCGTGTTCACTCGTCACACAACATAACTCTTATTTTTATTTTAGCTACGAGGAAGCAAGGTTGCACTGACAATAAAATACATGAAAGAAAGTATTCCCTTTTCGTTAAGTTTATTAGGTACTGATGAGGCTGGCCGTACACTTGCAAAGTGTAGCCAAGCACAAACGATGACTCGGAATGAGAATTGAAGATATTGCACGTAGTTACATAGAAATAGTAATGAATGAGAATGGACATGAATAAATGCGATGTATATAATGAACGTGAATAAATAGAGCTTACGACAGAATAGAAATGGCGTCGAAAGTCCAATGAAGATGAAGAGAGTTGAGAAGAACGAAGGAAGGGGCTCACGCGATGATGTGCGGAGGCTTGAAGGCGGAGATGCAGCTTCGTATTCGTGGCTGAAGAGCGGTGAAGGATCTCGACGCTGACGCTCGTGATAAAGATGTGGTTGAAGCTCTCAGGCGAGAAGAGAAGAGAAGAGAAGAGATGTGGCGCTCGACGACGAAGCAGTGAATCGCTTGATGTCGGAGGCAAGTAGAAATGTAGACATGCAAAGCCGGCACTGGTGCTGAGTAGTAATAGTTGCTCGTTTGATGCGCCGGACTTTGATGAAGAAATGTTTAGATGAGCTGCGGTGAAATGATGAGCTCGTGAGTGGAAAGAGCTACCGGAACGAAGACACTGGCAGCTCCCAGCGGAGAGTCAGGCGCCATGTCGGTGCTGACTATAACGTTCCACTGGGAGACTGCAGCCCGATGAACACGGCAGGGAAAGAGTAGACGTGCCGTAGAAGAAACGACAGGCACAGAAGAATAAGCCTGGAGAGGAAATTGCGGAGACGTCTTGACTCGACCAAGGTGAAAGCGGGAGTGAAGAAAAACCTCGTGGAGTTGAAAATACGCGGGGTGAACAGTGCGGAACCACGATGCGCGATTGGAGAGAAATACACACGTGGCCCGAATAATGAATATAAATAAGTACCGTGATGGAAAAATACTGGTGACATGAATGTACGGTGAAAGTAGGGCGAATGTAAGTAGGGCGAATGTAAGAGCCGCTACATTACTCCCCTGCCAGAATTGAAGCTGTGTATACAATACACAGATAAAAGGCGATAATATATAAATGAGCAAAGTACAAAATGTCACAAGAATCAATGGCTGATAAAAATGTAAAAGTGCATGTATCGTATAGTGTATGCACTAATTTACAGCAGCCTAAGAAATGTACAAGCATGGCATGTTGAAAAAAATGTAAACAACAAGCATGGTATGCGAACGGCTGTTTAGTTGCCATTAAATAGACATTAATGAATGACATGGTATGCACCGAATAAACGTGTATAAATGCAAGAGCATAAAAAACATTCGATACATAATCCAGAATGAATACATTTGATAAAATATTGCTAAGTCCAAAAAGTCTGGGAATAATAAAATCGTACAACCAAGCTTCAAAGTAAACGAGGGGTCACCACTTTAGAGATATGAGTGTGAGGTATTGTGAATGGATATTTGAAAGCGTGTTCACTCGTCACACAACATAACTCTTATTTTTATTTTAGCTACGAGGAAGCAAGGTTGCACTGACAATAAAATACATGAAAGAAAGTATTCCCTTTTCGTTAAGTTTATTAGGTACTGATGAGGCTGGCCGTACACTTGCAAAGTGTAGCCAAGCACAAACGATGACTCGGAATGAGAATTGAAGATATTGCACGTAGTTACATAGAAATAGTAATGAATGAGAATGGACATGAATAAATGCGATGTATATAATGAACGTGAATAAATAGAGCTTACGACAGAATAGAAATGGCGTCGAAAGTCCAATGAAGATGAAGAGAGTTGAGAAGAACGAAGGAAGGGGCTCACGCGATGATGTGCGGAGGCTTGAAGGCGGAGATGCAGCTTCGTATTCGTGGCTGAAGAGCGGTGAAGGATCTCGACGCTGACGCTCGTGATAAAGATGTGGTTGAAGCTCTCAGGCGAGAAGAGAAGAGAAGAGAAGAGATGTGGCGCTCGACGACGAAGCAGTGAATCGCTTGATGTCGGAGGCAAGTAGAAATGTAGACATGCAAAGCCGGCACTGGTGCTGAGTAGTAATAGTTGCTCGTTTGATGCGCCGGACTTTGATGAAGAAATGTTTAGATGAGCTGCGGTGAAATGATGAGCTCGTGAGTGGAAAGAGCTACCGGAACGAAGACACTGGCAGCTCCCAGCGGAGAGTCAGGCGCCATGTCGGTGCTGACTATAACGTTCCACTGGGAGACTGCAGCCCGATGAACACGGCAGGGAAAGAGTAGACGTGCCGTAGAAGAAACGACAGGCACAGAAGAATAAGCCTGGAGAGGAAATTGCGGAGACGTCTTGACTCGACCAAGGTGAAAGCGGGAGTGAAGAAAAACCTCGTGGAGTTGAAAATACGCGGGGTGAACAGTGCGGAACCACGATGCGCGATTGGAGAGAAATACACACGTGGCCCGAATAATGAATATAAATAAGTACCGTGATGGAAAAATACTGGTGACATGAATGTACGGTGAAAGTAGGGCGAATGTAAGTAGGGCGAATGTAAGAGCCGCTACAAAATAAATTGGGCGGATCCGGGCCAGGGACCAAGTCCAAGCCAAGCCAAGCCAAGGCAAGGGCAAGGCCAATTAAGGCCCAATGCAATTTTAGTAAGGCAAGGGTAGGTTTGGTAATAGGGTGTCTGATCGGGCACTCAGTTTTGTGTGCTAAAATCCTTCCCATACAGATTGCACACATCCCTGTTCAGTCCATGTGCATTGCAAAATTGGTCAATGTTTATTACCAAATGAGATTCAAACCAATAGGTCTACTGCATGCTCGTGATCCTGAAGGTGATACCCAATAAGTGAGGTGTCATATGGAAGAGCAAGTTTTCTCCATATTTCCCGAAGGGGCTCACCCCCAAAATTCTAAAAATATCTTGATCAAAACAGCGATTTAAACATTGTTTCCATGGTAACTCGGAGATTTACCAATTTCACGAAGTGAGCCCCCGAGGGATAAGTTGGGCCAGCTGTAAGGAATGTATCCATGCACTTATTTTTTCTCTAGTCCCGACTCCCAAGGGATCCCGAGCAGTTACAGTTTGAAAATACCCTTACTCCACGCTTTGCATATCGTGCTGTGCAACTCGGGGTGTTTTTCGTCCATTCTGACCAAAATGCTATGACTATTGACTAGAATTGGGGGGAGGGGCTGTATCTTTTGATAGAAACATCAGTGAGTCTTGAAATTTGAAATGTGTAGTTCTGAGTTAATGATTTTTCCAAATATCCAACCATAAATGGTGACAAACGATCCAAAAGGGAAAATTGAAAAATCGTCCAGACACCCCAGTATTAAGGGGAAAGGGGTAGGGCTGCGGCGTGTAGTCGAATGCTCGAGTACCCGCACGGTTGACAACTACTTGGGTACGATTTTTAGTACCGAATATTCGGCCGCAAAAAAAAAAAAAAAATCTGTCCAGGCCGACGCTTACCCGTGCCTGGATGAGCGGCGGCCGCTGGCATGGTGCCGTCGGTAAAAATGCTTCCCAACTCAAGCACTGTCAAACTCACCACTCAGAAACTGGGACCAAATGTCTGGATTTCTGTTTGGACTTGGAGGAAAATGGATTATTCTGCCATCTTTGGTTTTTAAAACAGCATTGTTTACTGTTATTATTATTATTATTAAATCGGCGCCTTCAACTGCAACTCAAAGTAAAATTGCATGCGTTTTCGGCGACGTGAGATACTGCCCCAGTGGTATGGTGGTGGCAAAAAAAAAAAAAAAAAAAAAATCAAAAAAATTCAACAAAAAAAAAAAATTATAAAAAAACATGGCGTCCGAATACTCGAGTATTCGCTTGTAAGCCTGGGAGTGTACATGTACTCGGGTACCTCATTACACTGTTGTGCACAGCCTTAGAAGGGGGTGTCGATAATTCAGTCCAACTGGCAATTCTGTTGAAATAAAAGTTCTGAGGAAGGACCCAAACCCAAACCAACCAAAAAAAGAAGAAGAAAAAACAAACAAAACTTTCCAAGCTTATTCTTAAATCTTAAAACATTATTAAAATATTTTTTTGCCACTCTGCCACTGTGGTTTGACTTTGAGACTTTATTTCATTTTAAGTATTAAAAGCTACAACAGAAAATTTAAATTATTATTAGGATTAATGACACAATTGTGTGCACGCTTAGACTAGTTCAACTAAGATTTGGGTGAACAGAAGATGATAGCCATAACTGTTTAGTAAGTTAATCTACACCCACATACATGTATATATACAAGACTAGAAGTAGATAGATAAGAGTACAATATCAATCATTTTAAGTGACTATCTTCTGCACCCACCATGTCTTTACCTTCCAGCGGAGACTGCGACATTTACGGAGTCTCTCAGCCAGGAACATCAGCCAGGTGAAATCACAATGGGGGACGGAATCTCTCATGGAAACCTACTTCTCTCTCCACAGTAGCAGTAGTAGTGAAGGTAAACACCAAACAGGGCTGGAAATAAGCAGTTTCCTAAGTGATCACTTACAATCCTGCTTGGCAACCTAAAAGTTTTGCCATTGTTATCTTGCTGGCAACTAAAAACACCATTACTGTTGTGCATTTATCAGTTCATGTTTGTGCAGTGGACTGTAAATGACCAAATGTTGAATATTGAAGGGCAGAGTATTTTACCAACATCGCTACCACTGCATTTTCAATTGCGCCATATTTCACGACATTATGAGCAGCAGATGGCAAGACATATACATGTACATCTGAAATAGTATCAGGAAAATGCCCAGTCCAATGCCCAATCAAACAATTGTCTAGGTTGCCCGGCTATTAACCCAAATAAAAATTGAAGTGAAAATATCACTACTCATTCAGAATCGAGATTTCAGAAATATAATTTAGGAAAATACATTGACAGAAAAGTTTAAAAAGGCTTGCCATTTTAAAGTGGAAACAGTGATTTTTTATTTTTGTAACGCTTTGCCAATTTGAATATGGGATGCTGATGTTTATCCTGTTTTCTGTTTGGACATGTCCAATGTCCAATAGGCTAAATATTATTAGCATTATACTTAATAATACATTATATAACGTCAGTAAAATTTGGGACATACATGTGTACAATGTACATGTGTAATGTATACAGTCTAACCTGTCTTAGAGGCAGCCTCTCTATAAAGGTCACCTGTCTACAGTGGCCACTTTGCCTGTTTCCCTTGGTGGGCTTCAATAGACAGGTTTGGCTGGATTTATCTGTGACTTGCCCAAGTCCTTTATGCAAGTTGCTTTCTAATTTGTTTCACACCAATATTAGTATGAGATTCTATATATTTCTGTTTTGTTTACTTTGCTTTTACAGCCTTTTACACAAGTGAAAAGATCCAGGACTCCTTGGTAAGTAGAGCTCTACTTGTTTTTGAATGACATTTATCTGTATTAACTCTTTGCTAGCTTTAGTCGATCAATAGGACAAACAGGCAGCTGCTACACTTGAATTTCATCACACATGCATGTATACAATGAATACACTCTAGAGAATTAATGCCAGTCTAGGCTATTGTTTGTTCCAACTTAAAAGGCAATTATAGATGAAATGTTAATCAATTGTAATTAGATTCCATTCTTGGTGGTTACTGTCTGGAGCTGGGCCTTGTTTCATAAAACTTGTTATGAATAACAACTGCCACAATTCTATTACAAATTTGCATACAGCCAATCCAATGCCATGACTAAAGTAGCTTACCAGATGATTTTAATGTGCTTGACTATTTAATATTGATGTTTAATTCTGGTTCAAATATTATGTCATGGGTCATGTACATGTATACTGCTTGAACAGGACACTAAATATTCTGGTACAACTGCAGCATAGTAAAACCTGATTTAGTGATAAAATCATGATCAGCTTGACTATACTGTATGTTAAAGTTCAAAAGAGAATTGTTATGTTGATAATTGTGTGCTGATCATGTGAACTTAAAACTAGGATATATACTGTAGTTTCAAGCTAATCTTGAGCTCTGGTATTGGCGTCGATGTAGAGAGAACATGGCTATAAAAAGATTGTTTATCCTGCAGTAGAATAAAACGGCCTCGCAAAAACTTGCTGAAAATCATCTTCAATAGAAACCGCAACTCTCACTTACACAAAGTGACCTGTGTCATTACTCAGCCCCTATACATTTTCTTACAAAATCGTTTGGCACATGTCGTTTATTGGTAATCTTAAACATTCGGTTTAAGTTTTGTTGGATTCTACAAGAATTTATTTTCTATCATCACCAGAACTCGAGCTTATCTTAAAGGTACTATGTCCCATTTGCAGGCCAAAAAAATGAAAAGGTTAAATTCCAACGGCATTTGAAAGATAATACTAATTAAGAACTTCCCTAAAAAAAGAGGGGCTTGAAAATGTCTTCAAGTGGGAAAATAAAGACTGTCAGCTGTCGAATCGACTTAGGAGCTATAGAGCCATTAAGTAATAGTCGGATTTTCAGACCATTGTACCGAATGGTCGTACGTTTTATGCTGCGCAAAGATTCAATCAGTTTAATTTTGGCCATTACAAGAAGTGGGTTATTGATTTTATCCTTTACAGCTCATTTTTTGTGTATTATTACCAAAGAAAAAAAAAAGCCAGTCAGTCACTCAATAGTATCTGACAGTGAAGTCTAGCAAGTAAAAGGTTTCCTTGCATATTTTGAATATTAAGACACTGTTAATGTTTAAATTTCACAGATAGGACATACATGACATATTCATAATTTCTGCAAAGTTCTACAGAATTTGATGTTGGTTGCAAAAGGGACATAATATCTTTAATGTCTACATGTAGTTGTTTTATAATTGAACTGTCATTTACCGAATGAGAACATTCAATGTGTACCATTGTTTTTCTTGGACAGAATCCAACGTGGCGAAGTTTTGACCTCTGTCGGTCATGTCCAGAGGTCAACACGGCTTTGTCCGGTATCCTTTTTTACATGTAGCTCGAACTAGACAATTTGATGTTAAAGGTACATGTATGTATATGATTTATGCAGGGTAGTATGGAATCATTTCAAGAGCCTGGAGAAAATCTGATACAACAGAGCAATAAAAGTGCCCACCTAGGGGTTAGAATTTAAGTTTTACGCAACCTTCTTATGTTTTCAAAGTATGCCATTTCTGCATTGGGCTCTAATTCAGGGTTTAAAAGGCATCAATAACAACATTTTGATAGTAATGATAATAATTTCATTGTATACTCTCAGAAACTCTCTATAGTAGAAAGTTCTTGAATTTTTTCACTAAGCTTTTAAAAAAATTGTATAGAAAAGAGAGAATACTGTGTTGTAATGTGTTTGTCTTCTTTGATGATGATTGAGAGAGAAAGAGATTTAAAAAGAGAGAGAGAGCACTTTCTGAAATTTCACAGCTAAATGAGCTAATTGTTTAATTTTTTAGGGCTAAGTTTCTCATAGGTTTTCACATTTGTCTCTTGTCTTGCTAATAATGAGTGTATGTTCATGCATTCAGTAATGACATTTTCCTTAGCTGCTTTAATACAGCATTTTATGTGAAGGTTTGGGGCGGCCATGACAGTGATTTCAAGCTTATCATCGAATGGAAAGTTGATCTCAAAGGTCTCTCATTCATCGGTACAAAGGTGAGATTTGGTTTTATTATCTTATTCATATTCTATGCTAAGGACTGGTAAAACATCAACAATTTCATGACTACAATGATAATATCTAATCAGTTGGTCTATGTAGAAAATATATGGTGAAATTTGAAAAACTGATTTATGCCAATGAACTTACAGTACATTCATTAAGATTGTGATTAAAATCAAATATATTTTCTTCATAAACCTATTTCTATTGTTGTTATAAAACTGTTGATATGGGACCAATCCTTTATTTTACTGCAAATTATCAACACTTCTAGTGGTAAAGGTGGAAATTTACTCCAACCTTTTATGTGGTTTACAAGATGCACATATCATTAATAAATGCTTGTCTTCTCTCGAAATTCAAGAGCATGATTGTGATTGATAAATCATGATTTGCATAAAGCTTGGAGTTGGGTTGAACAAGGTTATCTTACTAACATAATGTAATAATAATAAAAATAATAATAATCTTTAGAACTTGTTTTATATTGAAAACATTAGTTACTCAACCATTGTCTTGTACTTTAATTCTTTTTGTTTACCCCTATCTATGAAATCTACTCAATGTAAAGTGTACCTTATATTGTTTTGTAAATTTACCATATGGTATGAACATTAAGCGCACCCAGTCATGACAAGAACCTTGAATTTTCCATGATTTGTTATTCATAAAACGATACAAATATCTAATGTTTTACCACAGATTCACATGGATGGGGTACAGTACCAGCCTAAGTCTTATTATATTCGCCATGCCACATGTGAATACCCAGTATACTGTACACTGACAAAAATCCTGCATTGTAGATGCGTTGTCATCAAGTTCATTTTAAATTGTAAATATTCTGTATTTTTACCACAGATTCATATTAGAAAACACATTCATACTGTGCACTAACAAGATCCTTACATTGTCAATGATATGAAATTGAATTATTTGAATAATGGTAATGTTTTCTATTCTAACCACAGATTCACAAGGATGGTGTGAAGTACCAGCCTAATTCTATTATCTTTGGCATGTTTGATGGTTTCTATAGTTCAACAGATAATCTCCAGGTAATGAATTTAATCATCTATTAATCATTTATTTATATATTCATTTATTTATTTATGCATTTTTCTTGAGTGTTATCTCACATACATGTATCCCAGGGACCCGTTTCACAAAGCCTTTTTTCAATGTCAAATGACAAAAATCAGTGACAAATCTGCTGATAACCAATCAGAAGCAAGGATTTCAGTAGCTTATAACGAAAAGTGTCATGTGTCACTGATGACAAGTTTTGTGAAATGGGGCCCAGGACAACCCTTATGTGCTATTGTGAATATTGGGATAGGCAAGCAAGGCATGTCAGTTCAACAGATATAATGTTTGCGTTTAAAATGAAGTGACATTTTTATCTTAAAAAATCAAAATTAGCAATTTTTTGTTTTGTGTGTGTGCATAGTTTTGTACTATTTATATTATTATTTGATTATATTTAGTGCTGCCTTTTTACTTTGCAAGTAATTTTTTTTGTACAAGTTTTTTTTTTTAACAAGTTTTTTTTTGTGTGTGAATTCCCTGCATTGTTTGTTGTTGTGCTATGACCTATTAAAAATGCATGCAAAATTGAGCTGGCAGTGCAGTGCAAACATGTATTGTAGGCAGTCTTTGATAATTATTAAAATAACAGCTAGTGAAAATGTTACTGTCCTTATAATCTGTTGAACATCTTTACCTTTAGACATTGGTTTAAATACAGTATTCCTTTTTTTCTTCATTTCATGCAATTTTTAATTCATTGTGTTTTTCAGGATTCTTCGAAAAACAAAGCCAAATTTTGCAAGGTCTTGGAAGTTGACCAAAGCTCTGCAATCCTCACATACAACTCATATTCATTAGCAAGGTAAGATAGATCTCATTTTTTTATTTTGTTTAAATTTATTATTTACTTGGCAATTCACAAAAAATATAACAATCTAAATATGAGTAAACAAACATTAAGAGAATGTCAATTATAAATGCACAATCCTCCTGGAGGTCCTCTGAGTGCATCAGTTGGCTGCCAGGGAAGAGGAAAGCAAAGTAAATCACTGTTATCGTATTGGTCCCTCTTCCCGACCAACTGATGCACCCAAAAGACCTGCACAATATAGCATGAAGGTAATTAAAATGTATAACATTTCATAAACATACCAGCTAACAAAAACGAAGCACAAGGAGGAAATTTAATTGATATGTAATATGACACTAGGTCATGACATGATACTGAACATCAACATGAGGAATTAAGTCTGGCTTAAAAACTATTGCATATAATACTATATTTCTTGTTTGAAGCCAGGAACTTTACGATGGAAAGTCAGCAATAAAATCTTTAAATTGATAACACATTCGGTTTTTATAATTTTGTTTTCTCATAAAGTAATATTGCCAATATCAAAAAGTGGTTCAATTCAATTCAATTTCTTTTCCATCTTTAAAAAAAAGAAGAAATATAACATATTCTTGACACAATGTATTAGAATAATAATATATACATAAAAATGGAGGGATACCCTTAATAAGCAGGTTGCTTGTATGCAGGGCCCGTTATATAATATAACATTTACAACTTTGTTAGAGAAATATCTAAACATTTGAGAGAATTATAAACGGCAAAATCTTATATAAATCAGGTTACTGTTATTGTTTTTTCAGACACATGACACAGGCGGAAATGTTGATTAAATTGATGCTGGGAAAAACCCAATATCCTTGTTGAGTTGACAGGAACACTCGGCCATCTATGTTATCGTTTATTTTCTTCAGACACATGACTCTTTATCCGAAGAGCATGGCAATAATGGGAATGAATCACTGTTGCCAATTTTGAGGCAGAAATGTTGATATAATTAATCCTGGGAAAAACCCATATCCTTGATGAGTTGACAAGAACACTCTGCCATCTATGCTATTTTAAAATTTCTTTATACTCCTGAACTCATAAGATACTAGGTAAAGCTCTGAGGGCAGGGGCGACTTGATTTAGTATATATTGGCTGTACACAACTATTGTTTTACATGATTCGTATCCTTTAAAGATAAAGTTGAGTTCTGGTCATGCGATTGTATTGTGAAAGAAACTGTGTTGAATCGATCAAAAAAAGTTGATCATGTAGCATGTTAGTATTGGTGTGTACTGCAAGGTTCTGGAGTCATCAAAATCATAATAAATTTGGCCCTTTCTTGGTAAAGTAACAAGCACTATACACAGAAAGATGTATATGGGACTACACAAATAGTGTCGGGGCTACTAACCTTGATTTCCTTATCTCTCTATGCTCATTACTCAGCCAGTATACATTTTCTACCAAAATTGTTTGGCAACTGCAGTTTATTTGTAATCTTGAACATTCAGTGTAAGTTTCGTTTGATTCTGTGAGAGTTCATTTTCTTTTTTTACCAGAACTCAAGTTTATCTATCATGAAGAAAATAGAAAGTGAATATCGTATACTGAGAGCAAGAAGGATGCTAAATCATAAATGCTTTTAAACAGAGCTAAAGCCCTTCTGGCTCCAAACAGATTATATTATCCCACATTTAGCTTCCTCATCAACATTTAGCTCATGATTAAGTATAGTTACGGTTTCACTTTCAAGTGTACATTCACTCCGTGTTAGCCAGAATGATATTGAATTGCCCTTGAGTTGTGTTTTTTGCTTTGTAATGTCTAACTCCGTTCTTCCATTGCTTGTATGTTGAAAGGAATTCAAATGGTTGATTTAAGCCATGCATTACAAGGAAAGCATGGACTTGAGTTGAAAATGAAAATAATTTCAGTCCGTGTCCAATTCTATAATTATATAAGTTTTCTTTCTTTCTTTTTTTCATTTTGCTTACCGGGTATCACATTAATTCACGCCAAGAAATTTCAGTTATCTGACATGCACATATTCTCTGGAGGAGAGAGAGAGAAAGGGGGGACGATGCGGGGGGGGGGGGGGGGGGGGGGGGGGGGGGAGAAAGAGAAATACAGGATTTAGAAAAACAGAGAGGTGTAAACAGAGGGATGTGAACAAATATTTCAAAATATAGCACTCCAGTCTGTGTCAAATTCATATAATAAATTGTGCACGTTAGCATTTTCTAACTTTTTAAAAAACTCATAAACAATTATAAGTGCAGTTTATGTACACACATGGTTTTCATACTTAAATGTGTCCATGGTGTGATTTTGCTGGCGATATTTTCAATGGATATTTCAAAGGGTCCTTTGGACTTTGGTAGATTAAATACTGAATTCAAGTGGACTTTAATGACTTGTTATCAACTTAAAGTCCATGTGATAATAAGAAGGTCGTCTTGGTTAGTCATGAGTAATGGTCTTTTTGATGTGTACTCTGTAGATGTACATGTCAATGGGTCAGTGACACAAGGACGTAACTCTATTTTGGCCATTTTGAGAAGAAGTGGTTCATGTGTCAATGAGTTAAGGAGTTAAGTCTATGTTTCACTAGCCATTAACTTCAATGGGGTGTCGGGTGGAGTTAAGTCTTTGTGTTTCCTGGAATGCCCACATTTTTCTGAACATTTTGATATCAAATACTCACTTTGGCAAAATATGGAGTTACGTCTTTGTGTCACAGAATCCTTGATGTGTAAGTGCTTTATTTGAGGTTTTGATCCCTCAGACCTTACATCAATTATACAAATTGATTAATGCTATGATTGGGAAATGTGAGGTTAATAATTTGTCACATCTAGAATAATAAGTTGTGAACCTGTAAGCCATGTGCAATTGATAATTGGTTTCTCTTCCCCTTTTGCTTTCTTATCTACTAATCAACTAAAGAAAGATATAAGGAAATTGTGACATTACAACAGGAAAAATAATTTATTCATTGTAATTTCAATTTCCACTTCCTTTTAAGTTTTAACTTCTGTAGTACATGGACAAATTAAATAATTTTCAAGAAAATTTCTGTTAAAACTGACCCTATAGTTAGAATTTCTTGTAAGCTGAAATATGTGACAGCAAACATTTAATGTTTTAGCAAAACATTAATAGAACAGTTATTTATATCCAAAGATTTTCTGTGTTGCCGGGGATGAAATCTTGAATATCACAGAAACTCTTCCTCTTCATAACAAGAAACCAGGATTCAATATTACCTGGCCTTAGGGTAATTATCATACAAGTTATTTACTCCAATACTGCTCTCCCTTTCTTTTTCCATTGTATATTCTCTCTCTCTGTGTCTCTCTCTCTCTCAGTCTCTAAGGCCCGAATTCACAAAGGAGGTTTGTCGACAAACCTTGGTTTTCGTACGTCATATGACGCGTTTTACGCGTTTTTTACAAACCTGGTTTGTAAAGAACAAAAGGAGGTTTGGCGAAACAAAAGGAGGTTTGAGCTCAAACCTTGGTCTGAGCTCAAACCTTGCTTTGTGAATTTGGGCCTCACTGTCTCATTCTCTCTCTCTCTCTCCCGCTCTCTCTCGGTCACATCTCATTTACCCCTTAGAATGCCAAATTCAAGACAGTAGTATGGATCCTTTCCTGTGGTGGTTTAGGGGTTAAAAGCATCACTTTCAGTTTGTATACTGTTCTCACAGGTTGGAAGTCTATATATCGTCCATTTGGAGCCAGAAAGGCTTTAAACTCTGTGTAAAAGTATTTGAGTTAACGCCTTTCTGGCTCCAAACAGATATTCCGAGTATCTCTTCTTTTCGGATTACCGGTACTTGTTTTAGAGAACTTTTTTACTTGATGTTTGTGTTTTTCTTTATCCCTTTGCTACCCTTTATTAGACTTTCATGTGATTTTGATTTTCTTGTTTTATCATTTATTCTGTAGGTTACACACTACCCAACGTGCAATAAAACAAACGGAGGTGACGGTAGGCAAAGTCAGGACGTCCATCATTCAGAAATTAAGTGATACAACTAATAAAACAAGATTGGTAAGAATGATTTACTTACAAAGCCTCATTCACATGTCATGCAGTAAACCACCTGTAAAACAATGAATATCAAGTAGGGCTAAATGAAAAAGCTGTGTGTATGAAAGGTCACTAAGTTTACTGATAAAGCTACCATGGTGGTCTACAAAGAAAAATTCAAGCATGTAAACTTGAAACTTAAAGATAAACTTTAGTACTGGTAATGCGATTGCATTGTGAAAGAAAAGGTGTGGAAAGGATCAGAAACAGTTGATCATGTAGCATGTAAGTATTGGTGTGCACTGCAAGGTTCTGGAGTCATCAAAATCATAATAAATTTGACCGAGTCTTGGTAAAGTAACAAGCACTCACATAGAAAGCTATATATGGGACAACACACATGGTGCCGGGGCTAGTACTACCTTGATTTCCTTGTCTTTCTATGCTCATTACTCAGCCAGTATACATTTTCTTCCAAAATTGTTTGGCACATGTCATTTATTTGTAATCTTGAACATTCAGTGTAAGTTTCGTTTGATTCTGTGAGAATTAATTTTTATTTTTTTACCAGTACTGGAGTTTATCTTTAAGTTGAAAGGAGTATGAGAACTGATGTGCGAAGTCTTGTTTTGATGGGTTAAACCGGTTTCAGGGCTATGGGTTCTCTCTGGTGCAATCTGAGCTATATTTTGGTTGTGAATTCATTTTTAGACTGTCACTGATTTTGAAACCTGTCACTTTTACTTGTTAAAACAAAATCATTGTGGACTACCATGAGTTAATTGTAAAGTGCACTATGCTTTTATCATTTCATTTTGAACACCTTTGTTTATTATAACATTCTAGTCAAAGGAGAAACATTACTATAGCAGCTTAGAATTTATATCATATGGGCTATCATCAGCTAAAATCAAAGATATATTTGACAAAAAGTTTTACCAAACTTGAATATTACCTTGTATGTTTTATATTGCAGTGTTCAGAGAAGGAAGCAATAGAACTGAGGCTGCTGCTTTTAAAGGAAGAAATCCTGAGCCAGAGGAAAAGGCTGGAGAGAGAAAAAGAAATTTATGACCACCACAAACAACAGGTCCAATCTAAAAGTAAGATATGTAATAATGATAATAATATTATGGATTTATATACAACACCTAATGCATCTAATTTAGTATGTATGTTTTATTTTTACTTCAGTTTTTACTTCAGTTTTTGTCATCAAAGTTTGATAGTTGTCTTAGCAAATTATGGTTACGTCCGTAGTCCTCATTTTTAAGTAGATCATCTTTGTTTAAAGAGAAGTGCATTATAGTTTTGTTTGGCATTTCAATATATCACAATGCCCAATCATTTGATACAAACTATTTTCTATTCCTGGAACACGTTTTTGTAAGTTTTACAACGGGTAAGCATAAATTGTACAAACCCATTGTCAACTTTGGCTTGAGGTTATTGTATGCATTGGCCTAAAAAATAATGAAATAAATTTTCCGTCAAAACTTTAAAACTATTTACAGAAGTAGGTATTCTTGAAATCACAGAGCCTTTTTGTTGTGGCAAACAGTCTTCTTCAAGATGTGTGATTTAAAATGTTTATTTTCTTTTCCTTTTTTTTTTGTCTTCATTTTTGCTTCTAGTGGAATCCACCAAGTTAAAATGGGACGAATTGCAGCCTAGTAACGAAGAGCTTGAAATAGAGATTAAAAACTTGACAGAAACAAAGTAAGAACTTCAAATGTTTCCAATGTTAAAGAGAATGCTATGCCATAACAAATTAACTTTAGGCTTGGATTAGATAAAGCAGAATTCAATCGCAGTTTGAAAAATCTGCAGAAATGAATTATCCTTCAAATGGTGTTCTTTTAACCCAGAAAGACTAGGCTTCTTCAGAGCTTTTGAGGATGGGGGTATGCCCCCCCCCCCTCAAAATCTCAGCCACAAAAAAGGACTAATTGCAATAAAATTTACCACACATCTCCAAAATTATCTAAAGAATAACACTGCAACATAAATTTTGGTTGAAAATGATTAACATTGTCACTTAGTTTAATTTTTGCAAATTATAGCCATAAACGTACTTATATTACCGAATAATAAGAGCCAAATGGATATCTTATTGTGCAAAAGAATAAGTTATTATCTCGCTAATATATTTATGTGCTGCCTTTTTAATTTGCAGGGATATCAAAAGGCAGGTGATTTCAATGTACACAGCCAGGAAAGCCTCTCTCATACAAGAACTCTCACGCGTCTATCCAATCCAACAACTTCCAAACAATGTGTACACCGTCTGCACAGCACCTTTACCAAATGCTGAGAGCAACATACAAATGAGTGAGTTTTACAATCAGTTAGTGCAACATTTTAACATTCCACTTGCATTAACCTACAGAAAAAACATATTTACAACAATTAAAATTAGACGAAATTTATTACTGGAATGGCTGGGGATATAAAGTGCTCATGGTAATATTTGTCCCAGTGAGATGCAGAGCTGTCTCGCCTGTCTGGATATTTTATCTAAACCTTGAGGCATCATTTACAACAATCCTCACATGACACGGTCACCACAAGAGGTAGGCTATCTTGGATGAGTACATTTCCTTTTGTCAGGGAACAAAGCTATATGCCGAGATTCTTCTCTTACTTTTGTCTCTTCAGTTATGAAAAACACTTACCTGGATGTAAATTATACATTATAATCACTTTATGAAAAATGAACATAAATCTAGTTGGCACATGAGAAAAAGAATGAAAAGAATTTCAAATACATTACATTGCATTATGCTATGAATGCTTTGGGAACTGCGCTTGTACAAGGCTTACAGGTTTTTATTTATGTAGTTCCACATTTCAGTTTCTAAATATGTTTATGAATTTTTTTTTTAATCTTTTGTTTCAATGTAATTTTTATCCGAAAATGATTCAGATGATTTTGTTTCTCATGCAAAACATAATACAATGAATAATTATATTACAAAAAAATATGCAATGAAACAACAAATATAATAGAAAAAGCACGAGAAAAGAGGAACTAACTATAAGCAGAGCTTGTTGAAGTGTTAGTTCCTCAGATGCTGTTTTACAATATAACATGAACAAAGTATGCTTAAAATGGAATGAAATAAATGAGAATTGAAACATTGAAATAGTTACTGTATCGTTCCATCATCCCCCTGCAGATAAAGATGACATGACGATCTCTACTGCACTGGGACATACGAGCCATCTCACTCTGATGATCTCAAAGTTTCTACAGGTTCCGCTCCGCTATTCCATCCATTACAATGGATCCAGGTCTACCATACATGATCACATCACGGAACAGTTACAAGACAAAGACAGAGAGTGAGGATAATTATTCATTTCTGTCTTTTTATTAGTTTGTTCGTTTGCTTGCTGTTGTTATTTATTGATGTTGTTGTTGCTGTGTGTTTGTCTTACAAGCAAATAAATGGGTCTATGACTGCCCAAGGGGGGGGGGGGGGAGGATTTAATAATTTCATCACATATAATCATATCTGATGTAACAGATCCAGGGGGGTGTTTCACAAAGATTCTAAGTCAAACTTAACTCTAAGTTGGACTTAGATATTATGGAGAGCCATTTGTAGCCTTATTTTAAAATATATTCAAAAGCAAAAATTCAAGTATTTTAGACTTTTCATAAATTCCACATCAAGAACATGAAATCTACCACGATAATAGAAAAAATGAATGATTTGAATCAAAATTTCATGCCCTTTTAAAATAACTTTTACAAAATATTTTCAAGGATGCAAATGGCTTTCCATAATTGTTAAGTCCAGCTTAGAGATAAGTTCAGCTTAGGATCTTTGTGAAACACCCCCAGGTTTTTTTTATACATGACCACATCCGAGAAACGTTGCAAGACAAAGATAGAGAGTACCGGTAGTGAATTTTTTCTCCATTTTGTTACTGGTACCTGTTTATTGCTTATTGTTGTCTTAGTTGTTGTTGTTTAATAGCTAGATGTAGTTAGCATAAGAACGTAATGCTGTGACAGGTCAGGAATACAAAAGATATTATCGTTCCTGATATTGGTGAAGGTGTAACTGGATATATGTGAATTACAGTTTCAGTATGATTCTATAAGCTGGGTTAAGGTAGTACTTGTTAGCTCTATATCCTAATGATACTCTTCTTCCCCTGTGAAAAAAAATGATCTGAAATGATTTTTGACAATTAAGCATTTTGCACTCTGGATGTATGAAGTGCATCAAGAGAGAACTCCTCTGCGGAGGGAGAGCCAGACTGGTGTCGGGTTTGTGTTTGGTGCTAACGCCATAGACGGTGTCTGATTTGTGTTTGGTGATAACGCCATAGACAGTGTCTGATTTGTGTTTGGTGATAACGCCATAGACGGTGTCTGATTTGTGTTTGGTGATAACACCATAGACGGTGTCTGATTTGTGTTTGGTGATAACACCATAGACGGTGTGTGATTTGTGTTTGGTGATAACGCCATAGACGGTGTCTGATTTGTGTTTGGGGATAACGCCATAGACGGTGTCTAATTTGTGTTTGGTGATAACACCATAGACGGTGTCTGATTTGTGTTTGGTGATAACACCATAGACGGTGTCTGATTTGTGTTTGGGGCTAACGCCATAGACGGTGTCTGGTTTATGTTTGGTGCTAACGCCATAGACGGTGTCTGGTTTATGTTCGGTACTAACGCCATAGACCTTAATGTGGCTCATTATCTCATAATCTGGTGAATGAACTTAATGCAATTGTCCATTAATTTTATTTTTTATCCGATCTCTTTCTCTCTCTTCTCGATAGCTTTCCTCTCTACACCAAGGGCAGGGAGAAGTTCCACTTCAACTATGCCGTCTATCTCCTCAACCGTAACATCGCCCAGCTTCGGTACATCCTGGGACTTGGGACCTCTGACCTCCGTTTGACCTTGCCTAACCTCCAGACACTCCTAGAACTCAAGTGGGGCTTTTCGGTGTAAGTCTGACTAGACGATTTCATTTTAATTCATTTGTTTCCAGTCTTAAAAAATAAAATTCTCAATTGTTTTTAAAAATTAAAGTTCGTCACAATTTGTTCTGATTTAAAAGAAATTACCGCCAATATACCCTTCCACTATCCAAAAAACTAACTCTTGATGATAATTGTCCTTTAGGATGATAACCTTGTAAGATGAACTAATTGTACTCTGGGTTTATTCATCTCCTGGTAAATTTGTGTTTTTATCTTCCTCAGCTCTGTTCCTGCATCATCATCTGGAGCTAATGCTCAACCGCCTGGAGCCGCTTCACAACCGATTCCAGCCGGATCTCCCCGGTCTCGTGCCAGCATTGGGATCCAGGCCTCCATGGCCAGTCCCTACATGTCTCCTAACCCTCCCAACTACTCCTCAGCAGCTCCCAGTGTGCCAGCCGGTCTCCTGGGGGAGAACATTCCCAACAGCCCGCCTCCTCCTTACCACATCTCTGAGGCAGCTAGACAGGGAAGGACCAGAGACGGGACCGGTTCTACCCCACAGGGCGAAGAGGGATTGGTTCCTCTGGAGGGGGGAGGTGTGAATGGAGAACGTAGGGGTGGGGCACTTCGAGACAGTGGGGTAGTGGTGACAGAAGGAGAGGAAGCATCGCCAGGGGTTGTGGAGGGCGACGTGAATCACAGCAGCGGCGGGGATGCGCATGATTCGAGCAATGGAGAAGCGGCGGTGAGTGAGGATTCCCTTAATGGAAGGACTTCTGAAAGGGATCGCATTCCAAATGAAGCCGATAGTGATGGTGATGATGAAGATGACGAGGAAAGAGTAAGAGTGAGTGCTGAAGTTATAGGTATCAGCCAACTTAACTATAGTTCTGGTGATGCGCTTTCGCAGGATAGTGTCGATTTGGGTTCAGTGCATATAGGACAGGGCATTGGCTCAGGAACCACTAGCCCTACAAAGAGCAACCCATCACCTAGTGACTCACAGACAGATCAACCTGCAGGTGAAAACAGAGAAGGATCATGTGAGCAAGCAAAAGGAAGCAGCGAACAAACACCTTCGACGAGCCCAGCACATAACCAGTCGAATTCCAATAATGCATCACCTCCATATATTCCAGGGCAATGTGCAAAAAGTGATGGTCATTCCAGCGTTTCAACAAGTAAATCTCATGTGGAGGGTCAAGAGGCTGACCCTTCAGTCGTAACCCATGACCCCAAGGGGTCGGTGAGAGAAGTGCCTTTCATGGCTGTGGATCACATCTTCCGTTTTGACGACATCAGCTCGAGAGCCGATGCGCTGTCCAGTCAGGGTAGCTTCTCTAGATTCAAGTCAAACAACTCTGTGTCTGTTCCCAAGACTAAGAGCATACCTGATAGCTAACACAAGTCATTGTGCAAAGTTAGTTATTGATAATATGAACATTCAATTGAAGAATTTTACTAGGATCAGTCTTGAAATTTGCACTATTTAACTACTCAAAAAAAAAATCAACTTGGACGGTAATGAACTCAAATAAAGAGTACAATTCCATATTTTTTAAAGTTCAATTACCAGTATTCTTATAGGCAAGCAGTCATTTTTCTTTGAAATTTGGAATTTAGCTCTTAACCCTGTAGTGTAATTCTTTATACAGGCTTTAAAAATGTCTTGTCTCTATTGATCAGATTGATCAAGATTATTGGTTCGGCCTCATTTTCTTCCAACTCCCATTAGCAGAGAACTTTGAAGTAACAATGAAATTTTGATTTAAAAAAAAAAAAAATGTTGATTTTTTGATTTTTTAATTTTTTTTTTAACAGCAGTTGATACGTAAGTTAATAGAAGTAATATGATATGAAATACTGCACTGAAATCATTAAACTTGGCTATTGTGCAATTGGCCATGAAATTATGGAGTTAGAAATGGTTAGTTTGATATACACACGGCAAAAATTAATAAAGGATGTTTAAAATAATTGTTAAAAAAACTATTTAATTCACCTGACAGAGATAACTGTATGTACTTCAATAGTCAGAACGCGAATTGCATACATTAGGTGTTGTTAGGTAGGGCAAAACCACGGGCCCAAATTCACAAAAAAACGCGTCAAAACGTGTCATATGACGCACATAAACCAAGGTTCGTCGACAAACCTCCTTTGTGAATTTGGGCCATAGTGTTTGCCCTTCCAAGCATCAATTAAAGATAAACTTGAGTTCTGGTAAAAAAAAGAAAATGAATTCTCACAGAATCTAACGAAAACTTACACTGAATGTTCAAGATTACAAATAAATGTCATGTGCCAAACAATTTTGGAAGAAAATATATACTGGCTGAGTAATGAGCATAGAAAGATAAGGAAATCAGGGTAGTACTAGCCCCGAGACCATGTGTGTTGTCCCATATACATCTTTCTGTGTAAGTGATTGTTACTTTACCAAGACTCTGCCAAATTTATGATGATTTTGATGACTCCAAAACCTTGCATTACACACCATTACTTACAGGCTATATGATCAACTTTTCTGATCCATTCCACACCTTTTCTTTCACAATGCAATCGCATTACCAGAACTCAAGTTTATCTTTAATGTATGCAATTCTCATTTTGTCTATTGAATACAAATATTCATAATAGGTGAATGAAATATTTTTTTAACACGACACTTATCAAAGATTTATTCATTGAATTTGATCACATTACGGAAATTGTCTATTTGGGCCTCGAAGTGCAGTATGCATGTGAAAACAGTAATCTGTTCCTGAAATTTCTGTTAAAATGATATTGTATTGTGAGATAAAGATATAAGTTACAGAATAAAGAGCTTATCAACATGAGTGAATGAGCTGCAGTGATCGGAATCATTTTGAAGATTTAAAAAAAGAAGAAGAATATACCAGATTGACGAGTTTAGAAAATAATATCATGCAATTTGTTGATTGGTTTTAGTTTGGAAACTCTGTTGATTGGGCACTTTAATGCACAAGATATTTTTATATCAGTTACATGTAGATATAATATTGTAATATGCTACAATTTCATCACTTTAGACTTCCAATATGTTCATTTGAACCAAATTCATGACCCCATACCAAAACTTTGTATTACCTTTCAGCCCCCGCACACTATATATATATATGACTGGACTGCGATCCAATTGTGGAAGAATTTGTGATGGCATTTGACATGAATATTCAAACAGGTACAATCTTAATAATCAAGGTTAGGAACCGATTAAAAGACATCAATGTTGGGGGGCTGCAGGTTGCCTAGAAGGAGCCAAGCTCATATCTGATCAGAATCATCATGACGTCTTTTCAGTTGTGTGATCGTCTATGATTTGAAGACGATTTACCGGCAGATATTTCTACAAGGTGGATTTAATTTATTGTTAGTATTCATATCATTCAGAATCTCAGTCAAGAAAGTGATATCTATTAACAATTTGTGTTTCAAATTCAACTTGAATGGGTGTGCAATGTGGTTTATTTAACTTGGCTTTCACAAAGAAAGAATAATGATAATTAAACGTTTTTGTATAGCACATAACACATAGGCATCATTGTATGTCTGTATATGCTTTACAGAATGGAACAGAGGAGTTGAAATGGTGCTCTGGGTTCATGATTGTGAGAACTTACGAGATGCTAAATATATGTTTTCAAATTACTTCCCAACTTTTCATATGTTTCTATATTTGTAAGGTATTCCGGCAAGTTAAAGAAAACCATACACCATCTAGGGATAAAATCTTCTTGAGTGTTGACTTATAATCTAGATGTAGGAATGTTAATAGTTATTCTCCTATCACAGTGTTTATAAGTGCACCCACTGTATAATAAGAGGTAAAGAATATATAATCTAGAAAAAAAATGTGATGGAATTAGTTTTCTCAGAAGTACAGGAACCCTACAATGCAAATAGTTTTCTTCTCTTATTTTTCAAACCTCATTTGAGGATTCACTCCTTCTGTAAGATACAATAATTCTTTACCTATATTTTTACCACAAATCATAATGTCATCTTTATGTATATATGCCTGTGGCTTAGGCCATTTTCGTAATGTAACCAAATTGATACATAGTTGCTTCGATGTGAATTATATTTCATTCACCAGTTACGAATAAATGTATCTCAAAAGGCAGAATGCGAATTGCATCATTAGTTGTTGCTAGGTAAGACGAACATTGTGGCTTGTCCTACCTAACAGGTAATTTTACTTTACAAATGAAATCATTTGTATCAAGGAACTTTACTATTAAAGGTAAATATACATAAATTTGGTTACATTACGAAAATGGCCTATTGGTCGGGTACAAATCTATGCTACTTTTGTTCAAAGGAAATAGTACCTGTACTTTTTAAAGTTAGAATTCCCCTCTAGAGGAAGACATTGTGATACTGTTCATATTTCACCAGAGTTTATATTTCAAAATATCTGTATAATATTGCAAGAATAGTATGTACCATTTGATGGATTCCATGTAAATGTATTGGACACACATTATGTATTCTGATTTATATTACTGAATTAAATCAGTCTTACACAAATTCTCATAGTATTTCATCAGTGTATAATGTGTATGTTTGTGTGTGTGTGTGGTGTGTGAAGGAACAAGCAGTGGTTAGTGCATCAGTTTTAAAGCTCATGTACAATTTTGGTAGCAAAAAAGAAATTGGAATGAAACATGTTTATTATTGTCTCTTGTTCTCATTTTATCAAAAGATATATCATTTGGTATTCTATTCATGATTTCCTGTGAATTGTAATGTAAATACCTACAAGGAATGATAAATAACGACACTAGCACCCTTCCACGGTGATGGCTACGAGTATCTTCCTGTTGATCACCGAAAATCTGAAGAAAAGTTTGAGGGCATATCAAAACTGTACATGACCTAAAGTTGAATGAAATCAAATCAAGAAAAAAAGTAAACAGAGAGAGTGGAATTGGTATGATACTGATAAGAATTTATTTGAGGGATTACAAACAAATGAAAAAGAAGATTTATTTTCTTAACGATATAATTGGTAACTGCAAAATGTCGCAGAATCTAATTTTTCGGTGAACATGCATGGTCCTTTCACTGTCTCTAATTCAGCTTTTGAGTTATACTTCATCCTTTCCATTGCGTTCTTCATTTCTCTTTGTTCTTCATAAAGACTGCAGCCACCAAACCTTTACAAGTCCTTCATACCATCTGTAAACATTTTGTATCCAACTTGTTTTATCTTTAGTGAAAAACTGCAGCCTCCACACTTTAAAATGTCCTCTGAGGCCAACAGCAGAGAGACAGTTCTTTTACTGCCCCTATTTGAAGTATCGGATCACTCTATCCATATAACATTTCATCTGATTTTTCATCTTCATCAGAGGAAAACTGCAGCCTAAAAAACCTTGACTGGTCACTCTTTAAGCATTGTTCATCTCCTTCAGTGTACTACTGTTATCTTGACGCAGGCTTTGTTTTTCTTTATCCAACTTGTTCAATCTTCTTCAGTGTACGACTGTGATCTCCAAATCTTGAGGACACCTTCAGAGGCTGACGGCAATCACTGATATGATCCACAGTTGAATATCAGCTACTCCTTCATACTATCTGTAGCATTATTCATCCAACTTGTTGAGCTTCTTCAGGTTAAGACTGAGGCTCTAAACTTGAACAGTCCTGATGACTACAGCAGGTACAATTCTCTAAACACCCAGTCTTAAGCCATCGGGTCGAAATTCGTGCCACTTTCATCTTTCATCCAATTTGTTCATCTTCTTCAGTATATGACTGTGGCCTCCAAACCTTGACGAGACCCTCAGAGGCTGAGAGCAGGCACGGCTCCTCTGGATGGTAGGAGAGAGAGGGGATCGCATTCTTCCCGGCCTTCTCAATCGTTGATGTCATTGAACCCTAGAAAGAGAACAAATACAAATAGTTTTGTCAAGCTGTTAAAGCTGATACAATTCCGGTAGCAAACGGGAAATTCAAAGAAAACATTGGATTGGTCTTCACATTGTTCCACTTCTACCAAATGATACATTTGTTTGCTTATTAATGTCCTAAAGCATTTTGGGATAACATAGGCTCAAATTCGAAAAGGTGGACCGAGTTAAACCTAGATTTAACCGAGTCCACTGATGCTAAAGTACCTAGTATCAAACTCTTTATTCTGTACAGACTACTGAACTTCTATATCCAAAAAATAAATGAAACAAATAATAGTGATGAAATGAATATGAAAATTTTATTTTATATTGAGTAAAAAAAAAAATGGTTCATTTGACAGAATGAAAAATGTTGACACTGTGCTCTATAAATCAGTGGACTATTAAACTGCACACTTAAACGTGGACTAAAGTTAGTACATTATTACGAATACTGACTTTAGTCATAGTACATGTATGTTACAAGTTCAAAGGCCATAGTCCCTACCTCCACCAGGTCCCAGAAGCAAATCCTGCCGTCTTCAGAGCCACTGACGACATGGGTGTCGGTCTCGTTCATACAGCACTCAATGCGATAGTCTAGGTTAACATGGCCCTGGTATTCCCCTAGCAGCTCTCCGTTGTCCTTATCCAGGAGTCGAAGAGTGGAGTCTTGGGAAGAGACTAGCATGCACTGGCCATCTTTGGTGAAGCAGACACATGTCACTGGCTCTGCAGATTAATCACAACAAGAATAACAGTTATGTACTTTACACTTCATACAATTCTGTACATATTTATTATTACTCTAGTTATTGGATTCAACTGCCTTTCCATGCACAGTATGCACCCTCTCCTCATGTCAATCAAGCATTTGCATCCTACAGGGTACCCACTTATACACCTGGGCGGAGAGGTAGAATAAAATGCCTTGCTTAAAGGGAGTGGATCGCCAGTTTCCATGTGCAGAAGGCCATAATTCGCTGACACCAGACTTGGTGGAAATACCATTAACGGGGGTACAATTTTGCACACAGCAAACCCATAGTCCAGTCAAGAATTACCCCCCAATCTCTGGGAGAGCTCGAGAGTCTTCGGCAAATCAAAGCATTACATAAGGTCCAATGGTCATAAAACTCAAGGCTAACCCTGGTGATTGACAACACCTATTATTGGGTAAACACCCGAACGGTGTCGAATTCCCCATGAGAGCCGACTACTCAGTGACTTTAAGGAATTATCAATGCCTTACTAGGGATCAACCCATGACCTTCAAGTCTTGAATCAAGTTTTTAAATCACAAGACAACACAGGTTTGGTGATTGGTGATGTATTGGAATATTACTTTAATTCAAATCTAAACTTTAGGCTGTAGAAATATAGGATCCTTTGCAAGATCCCAGACTTTAATCATAACTTTGCTTCACTTACTTGATATACAATCAGAATGCATCTTGCCGTTCCTGAGGTCATATCTCCTGACTTTTCCATCCACGGAGCCAGTCAGGATCTCGTGATCGGTGACTTGAATCGATGTGATGCTGTCCTGCGCTTCCTCTAGTGTCTGAACAGGGTCAAACTTGCGTGATCGGCAGTCCCAGGATTTCACAGTTGCATCGATGGAGCCTGGGTATCATTCAGACAAAAGTTTTAACATCAGGAGGAGGAAATATGAATAATAATAATAAATAATAATATGTCCCTTGTTTACCCAGGGTAGCTTTATCAGTATTCATACTGTTCTCCCTGAGAGCCCTGCAATCATATTATTACCCAGGCTTTAACCGAACTACCATTAAAAGGTGCTCAAGCATTCAAGGAATTTCTTCCTACCAGGTACCCATTTACCTCACCTGGGTAGAGTATAGCAAATGTAGATTAATGTCTTGCCAAAGAACATTAGTGCCGCGGCGGGACTCGAACCGGGAACCATGGGATTCACACAAAAAAGATTTTTAGTGATCCATCATTTGTTATTGCATCATATGCTCTTGGCCTGAATTATTCAACGACATGATCCTGAGCTTATTCGGTGCTTAGATAACATTCTTGATATAATTAAAGCCTGGCAATGTTAGTGGTTCTCAAAAGGCTATCGGTAATCAAATTAAATATTATGAATAAAAATACACACAAAATAATGCTTTCAACACTGAAAAAACAACAAAAACAAAGTATGTGAAGACATATTAGCCAAGTATTCCAGCTGAAGTACAAATTTAGAATGTGCTCAGAATCCTACTGGAACTTTTTTAGCAAAGCAAAGTCGAAAGGAGAATGATGATCTGTCTAAGAATTAAATTGAATACTTGCCATGTATACTCTCTCTCTCTCTCTCCCTTTGGCTCCATACTTTGGTGATTGCGCAGATGCACAACTCTCTAGCCTTCCATCAGTTCTACACTTTTCACTCAATTCACTCACTTGTCTTTAAAGCCATTTCTTCAGGCTATCCATTTAAAGTATCCGTCTTCCTCACCTCTATCCTCTCTTCCCCTTGATCTATCCTGAACTTACCTGAGAAAATAATGGTAGATTCCTCATTGAAGCACACACAGTTGACCCTGCCAGCATGACCTCTGTATTTGCGCATCATCTTTCCGCTGGCTACGTCCCACAGGACAACTGTCTTGTCTCCTCCACATGAACAGAGATGCCCATTGTCAATGGAGGCCCGAGCATCCAGCACTTCATAGCCATGGCCAGAGTAGGTCTGTTGAGTGAAGGAGGAAGAGGGAAGGGGAGGGCGAGAAAGAGGGAATGAGAGGGAGAGAAAGAGGGAAGGAGAGGGAGAGAAAGAGAGATATCGACAGGGATGCAGGAGTTGGGAGATAAAGAGAAAGAGTAAGCAAGTATGAGAGAGAGAAAGAGAGAGAGAGAGAGAGAGAGAGAAAGAACAATGACATTTCATGACAAAATGGGATAAGAAAATTGGAAATGAAAATGGAAAGAAAATGTTAACACTATTCATACATGTAGCAAAAGCCACGATTTAACCACCAAACACATCATATTTCTGGGCTGTTTCTTTAAATTTGATGAAAACTTGTAAACACTACAATCTATCTACAGATCTGTGTTGCTTGATTTTATGGTGTGGGGGGGGGGGGGGGGGGGGGGGGGGGGTGGGTCCTTTTCAGAGACGCCAAGTTCAAAGATCAGCAATGCGTGACATTTTCATAAATCGGCGCGCGGGCGAGGGTAACACACACATATAAGGTATAGCGTTTATTCTAAATCGAGCGCGCGCGTCGTGCGTGAGAGCCTTTTCAGACCCTCGAAATGTGTGATGTCATGCGTAATGCGTGATACTTGGTAGCTCTGCCTTTTATCCTGGGTATCTCATACTGATGCATACATGCCAACATTTGAAAATCAGAAATCTGTACAAAATTATGCTATTTTCAAAAAAAAGAGGAACAATCCTAACTCTCCTATTCAATACTACAGACAAATTTGTACAGGAAGAGGAACACCTGCATTAAAATGATAATTATCTTCTCCCAAAAAGAGGAATGTTCCTCTTTAATCTGAACAGTTGGCATGTATGCTGATGCATTCAATTTTATCTTGAAACTGCACATATTACAAATGTCAAAATTTCAAAATGCTGAATTTACACACACCAAAATTGCTTGATGACTTGATCTTTCCTCATCATTTTTGTGTATACCGATACTTAATCTGGTATCATTTAACACATAACTATTACCCTTTGAGGCTCTCAATTTATTAGGACAGCTCACCTTTAACAGTAGTCCTCTCTTTGGGTTCCAAAGCTTTAGGGACTTGTCACTGCCACATGACAAGCAATAGTTTCCATCTACATTGAAGCGGACTGCTCGTACTGCTCCTTGCTTGCAGTCCAAGATCTTCACTAGTTTAGTTGGCAAAGACTCCGACATATCTAAATAGTACAAATAGAAAGACGCAGAAAGAACTTTTCAAAGTTTTGGGGTTGCATTTACTACAAAAAAGTAAATATTTTACCTGTTCTTTGGAAGTCATTCAATAAGGAAGTGTCAACAATTAAAGATTTAACTGCAACACACCACAAATTTCCAATTGTCTATCTGTCTATATTTAACAAGTTCCCTTTTCTTCTTTATTTCCTCCTTTTCCTTAAAAATTTCTACTTCTTTCTTCTCCTCTTACTCCTAGATCGTCTTCCTTCTCCATTCTTCATTTTATTTTTATTCTATGTCTATGATCAAGTATCAAGTATCAAGTTTATTTGTCTTCCAGAAAACACATGTGACAAAATATAATCATAACAGTACAAGTATAATCATGATGATGATGATGATGAACAGCATTTGTATAGCGCCATTTATCTGCAAAAGCATTCAAAGGCGCCTGGCTCCCTCAATATGTCACATATTATTCGCAACAGTACAATGTAGAATAAAGAAAGACGAGGAGACCTTGGTTGAAGCACAGCTTGTTAAGTTAAGGCCCCCTCATATGATGTGACAAAGATAACTGATTTTTAATACAACAAAAAATAAGGAATATATAAAACGATTTACAAAATACTCTCAGGGAACAACTACCCAACGATGCATCAACCACAGCATGGATGACTACAACAGGTATACCTGAAGATGCGCACATCCCCATCACATCGGGTGAGCCAACAAACTCACCGTGTGTGTGGGAAAATCTATCTATCTATCTAAATGTATCATATGAGCAAAAAATCAACCCACCCATGGGAGGGCGATTTAATACGGACAAACCCAAGCTGACACCAAATTGAGACATCATCTCGACACCTTATTCTCTTCTTGTTCATAGAATTCTTCTCCTAGATCTAGACCTAGTAGTACTTCTTCTCTTTCATATGCTTCTCCTATAGGCCTACCTTCATTTTATTCTCCTCCGGCCCCCTCCTTATTTCTTATTCTTTATTTTCTCACCTTCACCTTTAGTCTTCTCTTCTCCTCCTCAAGACTGTCAGGTTTGTTCTTTTTCTTAATCTTAATCTTATTCAATTTTCTTTCCCTCTTATTCTTTTCTTCTATTTCATGTTATCTCAATCTTCTCCTGAAGGTCGAAGTTCAATAAATAAACTACCACAACGACATAAAATTGAGGAGTTCACAAATAAAAATTAAATGGCAAAATTAAACTAGATCTAGGTCTAGATCTAGTCAGACGTCAGACAGTCATTCGATTCCTTGACTCCCAACAAATATTGGAACAGGTGGGACTGAAAGAAAGTGTAATGTTTACTATTGCTACAGTACATCGTGTTCTACCTTCAATTATCAAAATGACAACCATGATATATATTAGATATGTAAGAAAAAGGATTCTTTGCATCAATTACCTGCTGAATCAAGAAGTTGAAATTGACCTGAGCTGAGCTGTGGCCCTGTAGCACTTCCATGCACTTTCGTTTTTCTGTGATCTACACAACTCGTCCTAATAAGACAAGCTATACTATAATGCGGTCGAGAAAATTCGCCACAATTAATTTCCTATACATTGCGTGTGATGTCGGTGTTTTTTTAACCTAGAGCAGCCATCCTAGCGCTGCATTTGATTGGCCCAAAATTATTCTACCTCACATGTGCTCCTCATCAATATTTATGAATAAGTTTTGGACTGCATTATTTTGCCTGCGTGGAATTAGACTCTAGATCTAGGATGAATGCATGCTAGCGGAATTGGAACCCGCTGAATAGTCCCATCACATCATCTTGCTGGCACGCAATATGGAGGCTAATAGTAATACTAGTAACATTCAATGTCATGGCGTTAGAATTCCAGTCAATTTAGTGGTAGGTATAAATTCGAAAGTAGACCTAACTTAGACTAACTTGTTGTTGGATGTCGAGTGCAGTGCAGTGAGTGCATTGCAATTAGTGGTAGATCTAGATCTAGATTAGTCTGGATCTATCATCTAGGCCTAAGCCAGGTCAAGAGCAGTTGAGTTTGATCGAGTGACTGAGCTGAGTTAATAGAAAAAGTATCAATGAATTAAAGATGTGCAAGACTTCTGAACTAAATCGACTAGATCTAGACTCTAGAGTCTAGACCTAGACTTCTAGACTAGTCTAGATCTAGAGATCTAGAGGTCTAGTCTACATCATTACGTAGAGGGTGCGGCGCAGTGCATGCAGGTAAACTGTCGCCAAAATAGATCTAGATCTAGACCTCTAGACGGTAGACCGAGTACTTTGTAGTAGTACTAGTAGCTACTAGAGGCTATAGCTAGACTGAAATTTCTGTCTCTTTCGATTGTTAGATTGGGTAGGATCGGCTCCTTCCCAAAATTCAGAGGCTAACAAACGAAAGAGACAAAAAACTGCATAGTCTATCCTCTAGGACGTACTAGTCGGCTCCTCTCTTTAGCCGACCCGACCCAAATCAGAGGCTAACGAATGAAAGAGACAGAAATTTCGGTCTAGGTAAACATGACAGAGGTAAAAGTCGACAGAAACTGTCTGACTCGGAGGTAAGAATGACATGTCAGCATGGGTCAGATTAGACCGAATTTTCCGTCTCTTTCGTTCGTTAGCCTCTTATTGGGGTAGGGTCGGCTCTCTCTTTAGAGACGGAAACCGTCTATACACATTCCCTTGATAACGCCACGGCCATTTCAGGTCGTAGCGTTTTGCCCCCAAAATCCCCCAAAATGTCATTTTACCTCGTGCATGTTATATTGTAAATTAGGCCTAGGCTATAATAAATCAGTTCCACTTACCAACTTGACTGAAATAATCAGTTTAATAGTCCCTTTTTAGGAATTTATGGGTCAAAATCGAAATCCATGTTGAAAAAGATTTTCAAAATGGATTTCGATTTTGACCCATAATTTCCTAAAAAGGGACTATTAAACTGATTATTTCAGTCAAGTTGTTAAATGGAACCGATGTATTATAGCCTAGGCCTAATTTACATGCACGAGGTAAAATGACATTTTGGGGGATTTTGGGGGCAAAACGCTAGACCTGAAATGGCCGTGGCGTTATCAAGGGAATGTGTATATAGACGGTTTCCGTCTCTAAAGAGAGAGCCGGCCGACCCTTCCCCAATAAGAGGCTAACGAACGAAAGAGACGGAAAATTCGGTCTAGGGTCAGATCGAAGTAGAAATGTCGGAGGTGAAAATATGTGAGTCTCGGAGGAAAAAATGTCGGAGGTAATAAAGACTCAGAGGTAAATATGTCGGGTAATAATGTCGGACTCGGAGGTAAAAATTAATGTCAGGTAAAAATTTCAGACTAATTGGAGGTAAAAATGATGTGTCAGCATGCAGGGTCAAAGGAAAAATGTCAGAGGTATCTAGTAATGTCGGACTCGGAGGTAAAAATGTCAGAGGTAAAACTAAAAATGTTAAAGGAATCAATTAAGGTCTAGAGATATGAAACAAAAGAATATTGTAACAATTAAATCAGGGTTTTAGTAGTGGACGAAGGTTAAGTATTTTTTGTTGTACGCGCACGCGCATATGCTATAGCAATATGGCGCATCGTTGATTTAGCAATTACCAAACTGAAGGAAAATGAGCATAAATTACATATAACAATCATATTGGTGCAATTATCATGTTTCTTTTGGGGATAACGTAGTTATCTAATCAGAAATAAGGGGTTATACTGAAGATTATATGTGAAGATTTTATGGGATTAGCAGAAATGTTGTGTTGAAGTGTTGTTTTACTAACGAGGACATAAATTGCCCTTTTATACGTTTATGTATAGGGAAATTTTTAGTACGGCTAGAATTGTGTATTTAGGGTTTTCCACTGCACTGTATCTGATACGGGCCAGCCTCACTGAGGCTGGCCCAACCTTTAGTTGAGTCTTACATCTAGTCTACACTTGTACTTGTGTTGATCGAGTTTACCCTGAATGTTGGTTGGTTCGCATTAAAGGAATTCGACATGCAACTCATGATTGGTCTGATTTCTTAGTGCAACCGTAGTTATAGACAATGAGATCGAGAATCAGTGACAGGAGTTGACAAAGCATGCATGGTGACTGATTGGTGATTGATTGATTGATTGCTCGAAGGATGTTCAATTGACTGTTGCTGTGCACAACGATTGGGGTGACCGATTGCAGTCGAAGGATGCATGATTGTTAATACGCCCTGTGACGTGAGCAGTGAAAGAACTCCAGCCATCAAGCTACGGGCATATATTTTGTCCCAATGAACGACGGGGAGCGCCAGGCCAGACACGGGCATCCTGACAAATACTCCGTGTCAAGCCAAGGTGGCGAATCGTGTCCGTCACAATATGTTACATCCAATACAGGTTGAATATTGGTAATGATTGTGGTTAATGAAGTCTAGACCCCTATATTAATATTGGGCTTATCAACAAAGAATAACGAGGATTCCCTGCTGTCGATCATTATTTCAGCGCTTTTTTGTTTTCTTCTCTCTTTACAACTTTTATTTACATTTCGGCCCCAAATGAGACTTTTTGCCCGATTATTCTAGTTGGAATTGGGGAGGGTGTGCAAAAGAGGGCTGCTAGTACCATTGAATATCTTATATACAAAATTATGCTGTGAAAATGTGATGAAACATTCCCAACTTGTTGTGTCTGCAAAAGTGCACAAGAATAAAAAATAGGCTCATATTACTAGACCTACTATATAAAGCTCTACATGAAGGTCTATTACTAGTTGAAATATTCCTTTTTCTTTCTTTCTAGAACTGCTTCCACCCATTATACGTCCTGTGAAACAATCAGGATCCACAGTTAAGATCAAATGGTGCAGTGATAATCAGTTCATGCAGGTATACATTTATTCATGTATCTATCAATATTATTTTCTTTCTTCATTATCTTTGACTTATCACGTAATGCTCTGTAGGAACTTCTACCGGCAGCGGGATACAAATACCATCTGTGCGACATTGATGAGTTGCCAGGATCAAGCTACTCATTCAATGCTACCCTGAGAGTGAATGTAGCTACTGAGGCCCAAGCCGTCCAGTGGGTTGATGACTTCAAGGGATCATCCTCCTGCACATGGCGAGTTAAAACAACTTATCCATGTACTGGGAAATATGTTGTCTTCAAAGTGAGTATTTTAAGATGCACTTGATGTGTTGTGTGATATCACATACCAAGGGGGTGTTTCACAAAGATTTGAAGTTGAACTTAACGCTAAGTTGGACTTAAATATTATGGAGAACCATTTGTAGCCTTATTTTGAAATATATTCACAAAAGCAAAAATTCATGTATTTTAGACTTTTCATAAATTCATAGTCAAAATCATGAAATCTCCCGTAATAATAGAAAATATGAATGATTTAAATCAACATGTTATGCCTTTTAAAATAAATTTTACAAATATTTTCAAAGATGCTAATTGCTTTCCATCAGACCCCTCAAACATTCCACTTTCCCAATTGAAACCAACAGAAACCAATGGGCCTAACGGAATCTAGTGAAAATTCGAACCAGGATTCTAGCTGTACTAATGAATTTATAACGAAAAAGAGAATATTCTGCAACAAAAACTTTTGATAGAAAACGTCACTGAAATTATACACATCAAATGTAGTGGAAGTCAATTAATTTGAAAAGGCCATTTTTAAAAAACAAAGGGTTTTCAAAATGTATTATATTGTATTTGTCCCCTGTTTTATTGATTTCCATTTGAACAGAAAGCATACATATGCCATCACAATACACGCCCAAAGCCTGGTGCCAATGAAAAAAGAAAAACGCCATCTAAACACACCAACTGCCCAACAAGTTTCCAAGTGACTGTGAAGAATTTCAAGACGGCCAATAACCAGGAATCCCGGTAACTGTTCCTTACACTTTCTCTTTATTATTCTAACGTAATTTATAAAATTTCCTAGTTGTTATATTAATGGCAGTGATGGGCTTCTAATTCATGGGCTCAGTTGAACGTATGTTTTAATTAAATTTTAGGTAAATGCGAAATGTTACAAAGCAATGAGGTAGCCCTTTAAAAAAGTGTTTTTGTTTTTCAAATTTAGTGTCACTAGGTAGCCCCCCCCCCCCAAGTCATTTTACGGGAGGAAGGAAATGTATGTAAGAGTGTGTATATGCCTTAGGAAACAATCTTGAGGTTATTTCGTGTTTACTCTAAACTTTCCATATATTTGCACCATTTCCCTTCCCCAATCTTGTTATATTATTTTATTATGTTTTTTTTACATGATTTAAATTTTCAATACAGAAACAAGACAGACAGGCATTTGCCGGAATTTCCAGCAGTTGTCAAGTTTTGTTATCAACACAACCACAACGTCAGTTGTTCTGATGCATTGAAGTATAGAGATGTTTCAAGAGAGACGACACAAAAGCTCAGAGAGCTATTCCACAGGAAGTACGGCCCCACGGCTGCGTTGGAAGCGCTGAAAAACCAACTTCAAGTGGAGCATGGTTCTAATTACTACAAAGTAGCAGCAGACAGAGCAGTATGTCCAGATGTACAATACTGTTGCAGGTATATTCATTTCCGTGCCCCCGCCAGCTATGTACAATGGTGCAAATAACATCTGCTATAGCATATGCAATTAAGAGGGTTTTGGGTTGTTCTGTCCATACTGTGATAGCTTGAGAATATGTTGAGGTATAAAGTGAACGTTTAAATGACAACTCCAGGTGCTTTTCATATTTATCCAAATAAAAAGAGTAAAATAATTCAAATAGAACGGTGAAAATTTGATTAAAATCAAACAAAAACTAAGAAAGCTATGGAGTTTTGTACGTTTGTAAAATGTCTGGAAACATTAATATGCATCGCATTGGTTGCATGCAAATTAGTGAGTTGATGAAGTCACAGCCTCATATATAAGAATGTAAACTTGACCTTACAGATCCTAGAATGGATTTAAAATCATCATTAATACTGTTATAATAGAGACAGACTTTTGGAAGAATATCTATTAAAAAAAGATTGGGTCAAGGTCTTGGGTAAATTTTAATATGCTGAAATATCTTTTGAACTTGATTACTAAAGAGTGGAATTTCATCCCTTCTGCTATCATAAAAATATTTAGAATTGTCGTCCATGCACTTATTAGCTAGAATTCAAATCCAGTTTTATCTTAAAGATAAAGGTAAAGGTGAGTTCTGGTAAAAAAAAAAGGAAATTAATTCTCACAGAATCAAACGAAACTTACACTGAACGTTCAAGATTACAAATAAACGTCATTTGCCAAACAATTTTGGTAGAAAATGTATACTCGCAGAGTAATGAGCATAGAAAGATTAGAAAATCAAGGTAATTAGTAGCCCTGACAGTCTGACACCATTTGTGTAGTCCCATCTTTCTGTGTACAGTGCTTGTAACTTTACCAAGACTGGGCCAATTTCTTATCATTTTGATGATACGAGAACCTTGCAGTACACACCAATACTTATATGCTAGATGATCCTTTTCTAATCCATTCCACTCCTTTTCTTTCACAATTAATGCAATCGGATGACTAGAACTCACCTTTATCTTTAATTTTCTTAATTCAGATTATACCAGAAAGTCCTCAAAGAGAATTCCGTTAATGCAAGCAGTGCCAGTGGGGAGAACACGACGTTGACGGGCCTGACGGATCTAGCTGATCAGTACAATGCCACAAGTGGAAACATGGCTGTGGCCGTCACAGATGACCATCAAGTGATAGCGGCCATCTGCACACCTCTAATGCAGCGTGTACATGTTCTACACCAGTACAGCAGTGAGCTGTGTTTCATGGATGCTTCAACCAACTTGGACAGGCAAGATTGCAAATGTTATCTTCTGCTGACACACTCATGTGTGGGTGGGCTTCCTCTAGGTAAGTTCTTTCTTTTTCTCTCCATAAATTTATAATTTCTTAGCTGCATATGTTTCTATTTATTGATTTCTAAGCATACTTTGTTCATGTTATGTTGTAAAACAGCATCTGAGGAACTAACACTTCAACAAGCTCTGCTTCAAGTTAGTTCCTCTTTTCTCATGCTTTTTCCATCATATTTGTCGTTTCATTGCATATTTTTTGTGATTTAATTATTCTTATATTATGTTCTGCATGAGAAATAAATTAATTGAATTTGAAGCTTTGTTTCCATTGGCAATCAATGCCCAAGCTTTCAGTCCGTACATGCATGCATCCCTCACACGTGCAAATTATTTTCTTTTAAGAACACTTAATTATCAAAATTTGTATTCATATATACTTGCATGTGTAACTTCCCGTATTGAATTTTGGAGTTATTTAGAGATAAAAGGACATGCAAAGGTCAATTTACTTACTTATGCTAAAATACATTGTTACTGTGATAGCTTCAGAAATAGTCAATGAATCTTGATGAATCTTAAAGCCTTACCAGTCCACGGGTAGAATTCTGTAGGCATGATAATTCACCCTCTTCAACTTTTAGAGCAAACAGACCATCTTTTCATCTTGTATGTCTTGCATTCTTCAGTTTTTATTCCATTCATATTTTTTTGATTTGTCTGAAGACTGAAAGATTGAGTTTCTCATCTTAAATTTGATCTGAACTAGTTTGACCAGGAGGGATTAGACCTCCCTGCATGGTCACTGACAGGTGGTTATCTCATCAAATCAGCTCTCAGTTAACATAAGAAAAAGGGGACCATGGGGGACCAACGGTCACCGCTTAGGCATTGTTTGCTGTATAGAGGGCTCAAGTAGATACAAGTAGTGCAGTCCCGCTTTAAGTTAGAACCTTCAATTCTACAACCCTACAGGTGTTTTGATTACAACATCTGAAACACAGTCCACCATCAGTGCTGCACTGGACCTGTACAAGACCATCCTTCCAGCCGGCTGCTTTGGAGGCAGAGATGCCATCGGTCCACAGCTGTTCATCACCGATGACTGCCTGGCAGAGCGACAGGCTCTCAACGAAGCATTCCCCCAGTCTACACTACTTCTGTGCTCCTTTCATCTCCTTCAAGCAACACGGAGATGGTTGTGGAGCGCAGCAAACAAGATTCCCCTCACAGAACGCTCCAATCATCTGAGCCACATGAGAAGGATGATTCTTGCTCCATCAGAAGAAGAAGCAGACTCCTTCTTAGCTTCCAGCATGGCCAATCCAAAACTCCATAAGTAAGCTTTTACAGTTTGTATGTGCGTTGTCAGTATAGGCCTATAAACACACCCTAACAAGCCAAAAACCTGGCTTTCATTGTGTTCACCATTTTCCAATTATCCACTTATGTTTTAAATGTAGTTTCTCTTGTTTCTCTTTGATTGCTATACTTGTTTTGTTTTGTTTTCTTCTTAATCGTTTGATTGAAATGTCATAGTTTTATAATTTTTTTATTGCCCATTGACTGTTTTTTACACATTGTTTTTAATTGATGTTGGAATTTGGAAATAAATGATTTGATTTGATTTGATTAATAATTATATGATTTGTTATAATTCTAGCATGGATCATTGAAATATGATTGTCAAAAAGGAAGGTATAATGAGGGGTGTATTCATAATGGGATCATTAATGAACCATTATGTTACTTGTATAGTACTTGGAGTGTTATTAGCTAGTGCAGTCAATAAATAGTTTTTCCAGTCACAATTGTAAAGCCATCAATAGTTTACATGTAGTGATACATTATTTAGTAGTTATGAAAAATTCCATTTTTACTATGGAGGAACTTTGGTATAGTGATACCAAGATATTAAGAAGAAACCTAGGTTAGGAAGTAATTTAACAAGTCTATAATGCATTAATTATATCAATTTGTGATTTAATGCAATTATTGTTCATGCTTTATATAATATGAATTACATGTATGTCAACATCTTATAGCCTTGCAAGTGCTGCATTCATTTTAAATTGCTTTTAAAATCATGATTTTGGTTGCAGAATACAGATGCATGCACATTTGTTGCCCCCAAACAGATATAGAATTCCACTAAAAGTCAGATAAAATAAAAAATATTGTACTAATTAAGCATCTTAATGAACAACAGCCAACCCAACTCTTGTTTGATACAACTGCTATTACGGTAAAACACAGTTATCTGCATTAATAAGTTACAACATGTACACGATATTGATGTTCACCATTTGCAGGTCCTTCAAAGACTACCTGCAAAGGGCTTACGAGAGGAAGAATGAGTGGGCCTGTTCATACCGAACAGATCTGCCTCTCATAAGCAACGTTGCAAACAACTTCTGTGAAGCTGCTGTGCGGGTGTTGAGAGACAAGGTTCTGTCTAAAACCAAGGCTTTCAGCATCGCCCAACTGGCGGACTTCGTCTCCAACCGCCTCGAAGACTACTACCAGAGAAGAATCCTGGATGTGGCCAATGGCCGCTTCGACAACATACCTAGCAGCAAGAACGTGGTCAATGCATGTGATGGCCTTACGGAACAGGACATCACCAAAGTAAGTAACTTGATCAAGAACTGGGGGGCGTTTCACAAAACTTGTTATCAGTGACAGATGACAATTTGTGTTAAAAGCTACTGAAATCCTTGCTTCTGATTGGTTATTAGCAGATTTGTCACTGGTTATTTGTCATTGAAAAAAGGCTTTGTGAAACGCCCCCCTGGATGATAATTTATGGTGAATTCATGTGACTAGTTTATACTCGAAGGTGATATGAAGGGTTTACTTGAAATTTAAAATGACTCCAGCATGTTATATAACAACTGTATAAAGCAAAAATTTATTTGAACCGAAAAAAAAGAAATAGGAGGTATTTGATATCTTATACTAATGTGTTTTGATGCCTCTGCCACATAGTGGTGCCAGAGGTATTATGTTTTTCGGGTTTGTGTTAAGGGTGAAGATACAACAATATTAGAGATACGACAGTCTTCAGAATACCGCCCCTGCTCTTTTTATTGTAATGTGCACAGGAATATGCATATATAAAGTATCCTGTACCACATAGACTAGGCTACATGTTTTTTTAAACAAAGGACCTTCAGTGGATGGGCAGGTCCAAGCTATTTGGATTGTGACGTACGGGACATTTAGAGACTTTAAACAAGAAATAACAACAGATGAAATTATTAATATGGCTATCTTTTGGTATGAGTCTGTGGCTATTATGGGCTAGTTCATTTGTGGAAAGTTTTAGTTCTGACCAATTTTTTAATTAATTTTTAATGTAATTAATGTGCTGCGTGACGTACGGGACCACAGACTCATTCCAAAAGATAGCCATATTAATAATTTCATCTGTTGTTATTTCTTGTTTAAAGTCTCTAAATGTCCCGTACGTCACAATCCAAATAGCTTGGACCTGCCCGTAAGTCCTAAGGAGCTAGTCTATGTGTATCAGACTGTTTAGTTGATTTAGTTTTACTCGAAGATGAGAAGTTTTGAAAGGAAGTTACATGTTCCTAAAATGTGGCTAAGGATTAGCTCATCGTTAGATTTGTCAGAACATAATGGAAAAGGGCCAATGGTTTATTTTGTGCCGACTATGCTTCCTGTGCCTTTCTTTCAATGATAACCTACTTACAATAGTACCCTACAGAAAATAAAACACTGAAACATTTACAAAAACTTACCCTCATTATGAGAAGATGCAGACTGGTACTTGGGATTGGACCTCCTTGCCCTTTTAGATGTGGGTCTGGGTGGAGCTGGAGGAAATAGAGGAGGATCCTAGGGTTCCTGAGGTGCTTCCTCTGTTGTTTCCTGCGGATCTGGAAGCTTCCTAGCTTTACCCCTCCCCCCGCCAGCTGCTTTCCTTCCATGTGTCAGCATTTCAAAAAATTATGAAGAATTCTTGAGAAGAAATCATGTGTCTATTAATTTAATTTTCATCCCTTTCCAAATTGATGACTTTTAACTTGCAGATATCGGAAACAGAGTACAAAGTTGTGAGCCACAGCCCGCCTGACACTGAGTACCATGTGAATACTCACGTGGGATGCTGCACATGCTCCATAGGGAGAACAGGAGGCCCATGCAAGCACCAGGCTGCAGTTGCTCGCTTTCATTCTACACCTTCACTGAACTATGTACCTTTATTGACAGACACCAATGCAAGACTTCTCTTGTATAGAATTGCAACAGGTATTATTTTAAAGTGAACCTGTACCATTGTTGAAGGTCGATGGAAAAAAATTCTAAAGTTTTATGGTGAATGTTACTTTTTATATTCCTACTAATGCACAATCCCTCTAAAATGCAAAAAATCCTGAAAAGTTATATCCAGAAAATGTGGTTCAAATGATGGCCCTAGCTTCCATCATGATTCCTCCATATTTATTTTGTTTTGTGGAGAAAATCCTGCTTTAAATTATTTTTGTCAAAAAAATTATATTGATTTATGCTTGTCTTTGTGTGTAATAACAAATATGTTGAAATATGAATTGGGCTATTTCATGACCCTTCCTAGAACTCAACTCCCCTTTAAAGCTGTAAATTACATGTATTTGACCTATTGTGAGCACTTTGGGCCACTCTGGGAAAAGCGCAGTATATAATAATAATAATAATAATAGTACTAATATGAGCTATTTTTCACTCATTAGTGTGTTGTGAATATTCTTTTACATACTAATTTTCTTACAATTATTTTGTTTATGCAGGGAGGGAGGTAGCAGAGGAAGGATGGTTTGCAGGTTTGGAGAGCGTTCCAGTAGAGGAATTAACGGTACACTCTCCAAACCTGGTCCCTGAAGAGATGCCAGAAACGAGGAATGTAAACTTAACTGCAGCTGTGGACAGCCTACTGTCGTTCAACAAGCGTAAAGCTCCTCATTCACAAATTGGTACTGCTGTGATTTTTTTTCCCATTAATTGACACAATTTTGTTTGCAGTTATCTACTTTATAATAAAGAGGTTTATCCTGCAGACCTGATTTATCTTTTTATAAGCTTGATAGAAACAATTGTAAAACCTGGTATTGCATTTAGCAAAAATGCAATTTTGGGCTATATCCACAGATGTAAATGGTGCTAGCTCTTTTTTACATGCATTGATAATTCGGCTGCATGATTTTATTCAAAACAAATAATCATTGAAAATGGCTACAAATTGTGTCATATTTTATGACCATGGGCCTCTGAAATAAGGAATATCATGTGGAATATATCATTTTGTTTGTGGAAATTCTGTGTGCTTTTAGGATGTGGAAGTCACAACACTAAATCATGTCATTCTTTACTATTGATATATGCAAACCTATCTAGGATAGGAGAGATATGGTCCCATAATATTTTTATAACGTGACTTGACGTAACGTAACAGACGGTCCTCTTTCCAATAGTTTTCATATCATTTTATAAGGAATCATTAATTAAGCACTTCTTCTTTAAATAATACCATAGCAATTAAACATCAGATATTTTCAAAGGTGAAAGTATATGAATTTAATGTTCAGCAATCCGAGTTGACAAAGTGTCTTCAATTCATCTCAAATTAAAGTTGATGTAAATCATAAAGGGGTGAATTTTCGCAACGTGACTGATTGATGTTCTAAAGAGTCCTTGTAATGAATATATAGATGGTCAATTAGTATTAAGTTCAGCTTTAGGAACTATGGAGTGTAATATTCTTAAATTTTGCTCAATATATATGGCTTGATTTTAACCAAATATTGACCAAACCATTCTTAGGGAATGAGCTCTATATGTGTTTAACTGTGAACTCCTATTAAAAAATAATTTTGATATTTTTAAAGACCCACATCAGTGCATGCTAGGTTCCATATGCACATTTGATCATTTAAGACTTCAGCATGCTTGCATGGGCCTCCCATTGTTAGAGATTTATCATTTGAAGTTGAGTTCATAATCACATATATTTATCATAACAAATTTTCTCTCTTCTTTTGAACTGTCTATAATATAGTTGCTGATGTCAAATCTCGCTTGCAAAGCATGGGATCCAAGATTTCTGATAAACTAGACTTGGATCCAGAAACATTCCTGCCCGCTGTAGAGTCAATGCTCGAGCAGTTTGAAACAATCAAGACAGACAGCCACTTGCAGTCGGCATTACATAGTTTCGGCATGTGCACTGGCATCTGTATGGCCCTGAAGAAACGGCAAAGAAGGTTGTTGCCTGCTGGATTATTGCCTGCTGGAACAAGCTACGTCGTAGTTCAGCCTACTGCAACAGTCAACATGTCATCCTCTCTCTTGCCAGCCCCAAAGAGGAAAAAGGCAGCACCCCATAGTTTGAGCCACTGTGTTAGTAAAAACACATAGTACAAAACAAAGGAGTTATAGTCTGTGGGCCAGTGGGGTCTACCGTGAACCCCCACGTTGCTACTTTTTGGGTGTCATTGTGTGCATTGATATCTCCTCTGATGAAAACAAATGTTCCCAAGAAAACAACTAATTTCCACTATACTAGTCATACTAGGGCAATAAAAATGGCATAAATAACTTTTTAAAAATTGCAACAAAAAGTTTTTCAATGATTTCTAGTAGTATTTTACGTCTAGAAGTCTACAAATATCTGACCTTCCGAAAACCCCTATTTCAAAATAGTGTCCAAGATGGTTGCCATAGCCTAAATATGGCCAGAAAACAATTATTATCTATCCTGATAATCCAATGAGATTAATAAAAATGTTGTTGAGTATTTGGGAAGCATGGAAATCCAAAATGGTGTCCAAAATGACTGTCATTAAATACAAAAAAGGCCAAAAAAAGTTAATTATATTTCCAGCAGGCGTGAATTTGGTGCCTATCCCTTGGTTTTAGGGATAATAGAATCCATCTAGACTAATGAAAAAATCAATGAAGGATGAGGAAACCAAGAACGTTAATGTGGTTCTAAAATGGCCACCGATTCATTAAAATTAACCGAAAGTTAACTGCTATTCCAAGAATATATGTCGTGTTTTTTTGGTACATATCAATTTAATGTGGTGGTAAAAAAGTAATTATTCTTTGGGGGGGATTTAGCATAGTAGTTTTGACATTTATAGTGAACAATTTGTATATACCTAAGCAAATTCTGTTTCAAAATGGCGTCCAAGATGGCCGCCATTACAATATATTGGTTCGATTACAGACTTTCAATACATTACATGTTCCGTATTTTGTATCAAGAGATATTGTAACTTGTACCACACTCGGAATTGTGTGCCATATTATAAAAGAGATAACTGCTATTAGGGCATAAGAAATTAGGAATGGGGGTAACCAAAAGAAGCCTGTCTTCATATCACATCCCACTCAGATTTGATGTTGACGGGGGTGTGCCGCTGATGCCTTGAAACCCCTACCCATTTTTAAGGGTCATTTTGGCTGATTTTTTTTCAAGGCCCATTTCACATAATTTTGAAAAAGGGGACCCATATTTAGGGATTTTTTGTAAAAAAGTTACCCATTAGAGCGGCACAACCCCATATGTCTTAATATGTGAGTAACACCCCCCCCCCCCCCCCCCCCCCCCCCCCCCGGGCATTTATGACACATTTCTGCAAGGATTTTCAGTTTAGGTTTTTTGCATACATCAGCAAACCTAAATTATGTATTCTTTTATCTCAATTGTTTTTTTTTTTTTTTTTTTTGGGGGGGGGGGGGAACCTTTGCAGTAGTGTGTCTTAAATAACAACCTCTTTCACATTATGATACAATTTAAGTGAAATTTTGCCATCAAATTTTTGGCGAATTTGGGGCTCCCAACACTTAGAGGGCTTTGATGGTTCTTACAGTTTTCCATAGTATGTTTTTTGGCCTAACCATGTCAAGGAAGAATGTGATAACCGGGTGGAAAGATAAGAGAAAGTAATATATTTTGGTAGATCTGAAAAAGAGCTGTTTTAGATTGAAGAAAGGAAATCTTTTTGGAATTGTTCTGAAAAGAACAGTTTAGCGGATATAGAGACGATCTCGATATGTTGGCCAATATGCTCTGGCCGTCTTCAGGAGAAGACTTAAAAGACTTGGTAGCATTTTTTAAGCTGTGAGAGGGTGGTATATATATGATGCATGAACTCAGTGCTAGATCTACAATCTACAATAGGAGGGAAAATGTTTCATGAAAAATGGTGGATCTCGTCGATTATAAATAGGTTAAAATTTATTTGAATGTATATCTGCATTGGTTGTTCTTTTGACCTATTTGTTTGGGAAGGATCAGATATTCAATAACATAATTTACTTTTTTAAAGGATTTTTTTTAATTTTTAGTTTCTTACCCCGGGGCTACATTCTCCTTTAATCCTCTCGATTTCTTCCTTTTTGTCTTCTTCCTTTATCCTTATGTTCTTTGTAATTTGTATTATATGTTTTATTTATTTATTCCTACTTTTTATGCACTTTATATTTTTATGTGATTGTATATATTATAAATGTTGTATAAGTTGTGTAATTTTATGTATGATCACCTGGAAGGAAAGTTTCTTCTTTTTAAGAAGAAGACAATAAAGTATATATCTATCTATATATATATATATATCTGCTTGAATTTCATTTTTGAATCCCCTGTTTTCTTTTGCTGATATTATTGTAAGGTTGACAACTGACAATGATTGCTGGTGAAACTTCGAGAAAATACAAGTTTTATACAACTCTCATAGTCGTCACAGCGGATAAAAAGTCACAGTTGGAAGGAATACAAATTCGCCGGCCAACCGACATCATACGTGTCGCACCCCACCCCCCCCCTCAACAACGCCCCCTGCCTACACGTTGGTATTATCAATAAATAAGTACCATTATAACTAAATAGACAGTTGGCAACGCATTTAATTATTAAAAGAAATATTTAAGAAATTAGAATAGATAATATCGTAACAATTCACAATAAGTTTGTCTCGTATCATGCTCATTAACAACGTTTCGGTAAATTAAACTTTCTTGGTGGTAAGGAGATGATATATGTGTGTACATGAAATGGGGGCTATATTACCTTGAATAAATTCTATGACAAATTTGATCTGCAGAATAACACATATTTGTAAAGCTGAGGTCCTCGTTTTTTCATTTGATGCAACTCATTATGCATATTTCACGCATGAGTGATTAAAAACAATTGGAAGAAAATATTCCAAAAAGTCGATTGGCGAACGGTATCTAAATTTCAAAGAGAAACTCACATTTCTAGAAAGTTCATTTTCTGCCCTTTCATATGACACCTCAATCAGGAAAAATGAGCCAGGACCAAAGGCGTATTTGGGGGGGGGGGGGGGGGGGGGGGGGGGTGTCTTGGGTGTCTTGGGTGTTCAAAAGGGGGTGTTTTAGAAGTTTTAAAACACCTCGTTTATCTGTGCTTTTTCTATGACCGCCCCCTCCCAAAGTGATTTTTCTTTGTGTATGTGTGTCTGAGTGCTTACACCCCCCCCCCCCCCCCCCCCATCTCGCTCCCGCTTATTCACTAGTTGGCTGATTCGCTGCTAGTTTCTTACGAACTGGGCCAAAAAGTGCTCCTCAGCCCCAAACACAGGTAAATTTAACGTTTTTCAAATTAAAAAAGAAGACGTGGGGGGGGGGGGGGGGGGGGGGATGGGTGTTGGTTTAAAAAAAATAGTGCTCACTGCCCCCTCCCCCTCCAGTTGTGCAAAAACAACATTGTGCTCCTTACCCCTCCCCCCCCCCCCCCGCTTATTCGAAGAAAAAAAAAGTGTCATTTATTAATTATAATTGTAAATAAGTTATAATAAAACGTCCTTCTACCCACCTTCCGTGATAATATGGAATATACAACCCTGCCCCCCCATCTCGCTCCCGCTTATTCACTAGTTGGCTGATTCGCTGCTAGTTTCTTACGAACTGGGCCAAAAAGTGCTCCTCAGCCCCAAACACAGGTAAATTTAACGTTTTTCAAATTAAAAAAGAAGACGTGGGGGGGGGGGGATGGGTGTTGGTTTAAAAAAAATAGTGCTCACTGCCCCCTCCCCCTCCAGTTGTGCAAAAAACAACATTGTGCTCCTTACCCCTCCCCCCCCCCCCCGCTTATTCGAAGAAAAAAAAAGTGTCATTTATTAATTATAATTGTAAATAAGTTATAATAAAACGTCCTTCTACCCACCTTCCGTGATAATATGGAATATACAACCCTGCGAAGCTGCAAATACACCCTCACTCGCTACTTTCCGTAAGGCTGCCATCCCTACCATAAGAGTTTGCAGCCTCGATCCTGCTGGATTTCGGCTCATGTAAAGTGAGCAGTCATGTTTTTACTTGCTTCTCACACTTTTTACTTTATATAATATCATATTCTATAACTTCACTGGCGGCCATGGACTGCACGTACGCCCCATCCCGTATAGCTTCCAAAGTGAGCTGCAAAAGGGATTAATGCTGTGGTGAAGTGTGACGTCATCAAAAACATCATGACATTACGAGCCAGAGCATATAACACTGAGTTCCCATAGGAAATCTATTTATTCAGATGGTCATTTCTCAGCCAATACTTAACATATTCAATTGGTTTTCAAAATTTGGACATTATTTTTGATGCTCTTTCGGAAAATGAAGAAAAACATTGAGAAAAAAAAAATCGGCCAGAAATTTAGCTCATGTAGGCCTCCAGTTTAAATTCCGATAGGAATCTTTTGGAGGAACAACAACTAAGTACAAAGTATTATATGGCAAATGCGCGCATAAAACATTATGGCAAATGTAAACACGTACACTATTGCGTCACAAAAACATGTAGTGACGTCAACGTGCGTGACTGTTTTCATGGCAAGCGCGCGTAGCTAGGCCCACTTTGTTTTGTTTACATTTGCCATATGTTTTATGCGCGCATTTGCCATGCATGAGCTAAATTTCTGGATGAATTTAAACTTTTCAAAATGGTTGCAATGACAGATAAATTACCGTAGGTGCAAACAGACAAGGGTGAGTGTGAAAGTAATGTTAGTTTATGTTCTAACCCGTAATGAAGTTTTCTAAGTTAAAGTCAAGTTCCTTTGACTTTGAGTTTGAATTTTGTTGATTGATGAGTGTGATACATATAGGTCTAGGGCTTTGGCCGGCTCGAGCAGGCCGTGGCCGTGGCGTGGGTTGGACGTGACGATGGTGGCGGCATGTGGTAACTCTATATAGGCCTATTGTCTAACAATACATCTCGGTTAGATATGAACTTATGTCGTGCAGCCGCTCTGCTATCTAGATTTATAGTCAGAGACACACAGTCATGGCAGTGATATTCATAGTATTAATATGCTGGGGGTTGTATACAGTACTTGCAATTTGTATGTCCGGATGCTTAACAAAAATTAAGCCGTTACTTTTGCCGTTGCCTTGGATTTACGAGAAATATTCATCAATTTCAGCATTAGATTAGGCCTAGAGTCTAGACCTAAATCTAACCACCACACGTATTTGTCCTTTAGAAATTATTGTCTAACAGAATTCTCTGAAATTTTGCATGTAGAATTCTTCAAATTTCTGTTTTAAATGAACCTTTCCGGACAGCCAACGTCTGCCTCTTGCTTGGAATCCGGAGATGACCAAACTGTAAATTCTTGGTGAAGCCACGTTTATTCGCATCGGAACGAAATCTAATCCCCCCCCCTCCCGATCAAACAATTATGTTTAGTCTAGGCCTACATTAGATCTAGATCTCATGCAACATTCTAAATTTCTAGTGATTATAATGATGAATTCGATGGTGAAGATGATGGTGATGATGATGATGATTAATAATAGCAACGGTAGTAGACTAGGTCTAGATCTAGGCCCACTTATAATTATAATACTAGGCCTAGACCTAGATTTAGTGGATATAATATAGATTCTACTACTAAGTAGACCTGAAAGGTAATAGAAAAATAACATTGACTGTACTAGATCTAGATCTAGATGTATAATGATACATGCAGTTCTCATTATATCGAACACAACTAGTCTTTACTAGAGTAGACTAACAATAAAGATCCAGGCCTAGAGTAAAGTACCCGGTAATCGGTCAGCTCCGGTTTTCGGCCAATTGGTTGGATACATGGTAAAATCACTTTAAAATACATCGCATAATAGCATAACACATATCCCACACATACCATACCATGCCAGTGTCACTGAAGAACCACATTTGCAATGAAAAATATATCCTAAAATATCACATTTTAGCGATGTAATCGGCGGTCCCGCTACCCAAATCTGAAAAATCGAGTTTCTTACGCGTGTATGTAAGAAATATGGGTACCATAAAATGGGCTTTATTTCAAGTATTTTTCAGATATAGAGCCCGATTTTGTGCTGGTCGCAAGCTCAAAAGTATCTCATCGCATGTATTAAATCAATGCAGCCGCACACCGCGACGCACACACGATATGTCCGTCTAATTCAGATTCCAACTTCCGATCACCGCTGTGCCTGTATT